AGCTACAGTTCACTGACTCTGTGTGTTTGCATATCTGTCCTGCCTCTCTGCTCCCAGCCGTTAAGAGGCCAGTGTTGATCAGTGGCTGTCCAGGCCTTTCAGAGCCACTGACACGCCGGCAGCACAATGATGATGTCACTGATTCTACTGCTGGCCACCCTGGGGCTCCTTGTTCAGGGTGAGACTCTCTTCTGAAAACTTTGCTTCAGGATGCAACCAGCTTCACCACAATGATGTTCTGCTGTGATGGAGAAACACTGAAACAAGCAGCATTTACCTTCTTCCATCTGTTCTCCATCTTAAAGAAATGAGACTCTTCTGTTTGGATGCTGATCATCTTTCTCCAAGCTGGATTTGTCTCAATAACCCTTCTCCTCTTTTTCATCTTTTCCAGGTTCATCAGGACAAATCATCCTGACTCAGTCTCCTGGATCTCAGTCTGTTGTTCCAGGACAGGCTGTCTCTCTCAAATGTAAAGCCAGTTCAAGTGTTAGTAACTGGCTCCAGTGGTACCTTCAGAAACCTGGAGAAGCTCCTAAACTCCTGATTTATACAGCTACAACTCGTCAGTCTGGAGTTCCAGATCGTTTTAGTGGAAGTGGATCTGGGACTGACTTCACTCTGACCATCAGTGGAGTTCAGACTGAAGATTCAGGAGTTTACTACTGTCAGCAGAGTGCTAACTCGTTCACACAGTGATACAACGTCGTACAAAAACCTCCCTCAGCTGGAGAGGAACTGATCTGACTCAACAGCTGCACTGAAACTAAAACAACAGAGTTATCCAACGAAGGTTAAAATCAACGGCAACTGAACTTGGTTGAAGATATTGGAAGACATTTCGTCGTTCTCCTCGTCCTTTGGATGAGGGACGAAACGTCTTCCAGTATCTTCAACCAAGTCCAGTTGCCCTTGATTTTAACCTTCGTTGGATAACTATGACCTGGATGACTGAGAATCTTCATAGACATAAAACAACAGAGGTTTATAAAAATGCACATTTAGACAATAATTATTCACAATGAACATTGCAACACTAAATATTCTTTAATATATAATATTTTAGAAGTTGTACTGTACGGTAATGTGTTTATTAAAACAGAGTTTGGACCATTCTGAACATTAAAGCTAACCTCTGTTGAATTATGATTTAAATTTTTTTTTTTAATAATTGATATTCATGGAGTATAAAAACACAACACACAGACTGTAAATATTATTTATTATTACATATCTTACCATTTTTTCATTGAATCTCAAATATACTTTGATGCAAAAAGTAATTTCATTAATTGCAGTTAAATTACTTAAATTGTGTGTTTTATTCCAGCAAACAAATTCATTTTAATATTGAAATAGTAAATCAGTAATATTTGAATTATTTCCTTTGGTCAACTTTTACTTGTCTTTGTGTTTCTTCAGCAGAAGCAGAATGTACAGTATCTCACAAAAGTGAGTACACCCCTCACATTTAGAGTGTACAGCTTGTATAACAGTGTAAATTTGCTGTCCCCTCAAAATAACACATCACACAGCCATTAATGTCTAAACCGCTGGCAACTGAGTTGAGTAGGCCTACACCTAAGTGAAAATGTCCAAATTGGGCCGCCATGGCGCTCAGCAATCCCGTTGTGGCAATTGTTTAAACCAGTGGTGGCTCCTGTCAAATCTCTCAGGGGGGGCAATTGTTGCGATGATGGCTAAGGTGACCAGTTCATTGGTCTTAGTCTGCTATAAGACAAGGATTGTTCCATAGGCTACATACTGTACAGTATTTGTGAACAGCTACATCCTGAAGCTCATTGTCAATGTCTACAATGAATGAACAGTCCACAGTTAAGATCAACAGATCTTTAGGCCTTTGGATGTAAAGGCAACTACTTTAGCAATAATGAAAAAAAGCATGACTCTCACAATCATTTGATTTAGCTGTGACAAACCTTTTATTTAGGAACAATAAATCCAGAATAAAGCGCAGTGGCACTAGGTTGATGTGCAATGAATAAAATTATTTACAGTTAATCTTGCGTTGCAGCTAAGGGACCCATCTCAAGTAATAGGCTACAGTTATGTAATAATGTCACGTGCTGTATATAAAGGTGGATCAAACATAGCTAATCTAAAATGTTTAATGGGGTACAGAGGAGCACATTATTTATTTTCATTCTTTAAGTTGCACACATTACACAAGACTAATATGGTAAGTAGAGAGGAGTAAAAAAACACTTGTTATCCTGTAGATACACAGTATTATTTAGGGGTGTGGGCTGTATTAAAGTATCCACTGTTCTCCTGTACTCTATAATCACACAGTAACAACGAGCTATGTGTTGTTCTCCCATTCTCACTCTGTATTTACACATAAACATCAAGGCGTGTAAGGGGAAATATAAAAGGTATATTCTATTATTTTTGGTTTGCTTTCTGTTTTGCTTTCCTTGTTCTTCTTCTTCTTCTTCTTTTTACCCTCCTCTGACAAGATGCCAGTGGTGGCCACATCATGCTACCTCCTCTTTCTTCTTCGGTTTCTGGCAATAAAAGAAAAAAACAACACATCAAATAATTGTTACTGGTTAAGTGCAGCTAACTTTAAATTGACTCCACCACCACACATAAAACATGGCTTAATAACAATCACATTTAACACAAGCATAAAATTTGGCTTAATAATAACTATCAAGATTATTAGCTTAGCCTATGGCATTTTACAGAGCATAAATTAGCCTAGCGGCTAGCGGACGTTTCCTCTCCTCATAGCTTAACAAATGGCATGTATTATTTATTTTTTTGCATGGGTGCTTCTGTCTGTGTGTGCGCGTGAGAGAGAGAGAGAAAAAGAGAGAGAGAAAGTGATTAAAACCAATTATTTGATTTTAACTTTGTTATGGCAAGGCTAGCAGAACCAAGTGCAGGACTAAGAGAGAGAGGATTTAAATAAAAGAGGAATATTTATTGCAGGTTAAAAGGATCGGATATTGAGCAGGTGAAGAGCGAGGCAGAGTGAAAATCGATGCGGGAATAGTTTAGCCGGACTGGGGTCCAGGCAGAGGATGAGCTAAATAATTTTCGTTAGCGGAACTAAATCCAACACGTCATTATGCAAAATTCACTTTTAACTTTTATTATAGCGACTAAATGCTCTTCTTCTACAATCGCCCAATATAATTTAAAAGTGCTCATTATGTTGTTGTTTGTTTGTGGTAGCCTGGAGTTTAGACCTACTTATTAATTTTAAAATGTAGGAAATTTGACTGTTTTGATCTGTAATTAAGCAATTGTAAAATTAATAAACGCCATAACTTCCACAGTACTGCTGTCCTCACTCAGTTTAAAGTGTTCTCACACAACTCAGGGCTTCGTTTTGTTTTCCCTTTGATGTGAACTGGAGCGTTGGATTATGTTCACTGCTGTCGGCAGAGGTCAGGCACGCGAAAAAAAAACTCAATAATCAAATTTTGAAATTGAAAATCAAATGTGTATCCAACAGTCGAATATTCGAACATTCACATATTCGGGTCCAGCCCTAATGGATATACATTACATAATGTCACACATTCTTTGTAAAATCATCCTGGAGAAAGATTTCTCTCAGCTCAGTGTTTCTCTGGATGTAATATCCCTTTGATGTGAGAGACCCAGGTTTGAATCCACTGTGAGACACCAATGTGTCCCTGAGCAAGACACTTCGCTCCAGAGGTGTGCGACCTCTGACATATATTGCAATTGTAAGTCGCTTTGGATAAAAGCGTCAGCTAAATGAATAAATGTAAAAAAATGTGTTTTATGATTGAAACCAAAAAGGGTTTATGAAGTAAATCACTAAAATTTGAATTCTTTCCTTTTGTCATCTTTAATTTGTCTTTGAGGTTCTTCAGCAGGAGAAGAATGTAAATAGTTCCTGGTTAGAATAGCAGATTGCTCGTTTTATTTCTCACTATGCTGATGATATGGTGCTTTATATTTCAGGTTTGTAAAATATATAACAGACGTGTAGTTTTATATAAATAACACAATAATTATCATTAAAGCACATCTGTATTAACAGATAATAGGATGATAAACGACTGACGGGCTTCTATATTGGGTTTTGTTCCAAAGGTTTATTATTACAGACAAATCACTAATGACTACAGTAGCAAGTGTTTGACAGCCATTAGGCATTCATATTAATTCTGACCAAATGATTATTTGTATAGCATTATTGATAATTGGCCTTATACTGCTAACATCACTGGTTTGTACTAATCCAACTATACTGACAAGCTGATGTTCACTCTCAATATACAGCATATATGGCTATACATTATTATTACTGTGACATTTTTTTTAAATTCACTGTGAAGACATTACCATTATGTCAGCCCAGTTTCTCTGGATGAAATACATACATACAATAACATCGTCAAGAGAACATTTATTAAGACACTTAATATATAAATAAATGTAGAAATAAATAAATAAATGTAGAAATGCAGAAATAACATTTTTTATTACAAAATACATTTAATTTCTGCATTTATTTATTTATTTATTTATTCATTTATTATATAATTTTTAGTCCTTCATATTCCCTGACACCATGAAGAGAACATTTATTAAGAAACTTTGATAATAATAAACATGAAAACAGCTGATTGGATGAAAAGGTCTTTATTATCTGGAAACACTGAAATAATATTGAAACAGTGCAACAAGCTAGTAAATCTTGCTGTTGAAAGATGTCAAATAAAAGAGAGAGACAGTTCCAGAGTGCAGAGTGAGAGCAGGAGCAGAGGAAAACCAGTAGCAGAGTCCCAGTGAGTCAGGTCAGGACTGGGAACACTGGTCTCTCCTCAGTGTCTCTGAGAGCGGAGTCTGGGAGCCCTGGGTGACCTCACAGGTCACAGAGCCCACCTTCCCAGTGCTCTGGGAGACTTTATAGTCCTGAGAGTTGAACACTGGATGACTGACAGCTGTCCTTCATGACAACAGAAGCCACAGAAATCCTCCTCATCAAAAACATGACTTTGGTCTCCGTCCTCATCTGGACTCTCCTCTGCTTCACTCAGGGTGAGGAAAATCATTTTTCTGTGATGTGAAAATCATTTGGAGTGTAGCTGAGTTTCACCTCACCATCTCATGTCCAGTGTTTCTTCTCTCTCCTCAGGGTCTGTTGGACAAAATGTTGTCTTGACTCAGCCAGCAGCCAAATCAGTGCAGCTGGGTCAAACTGTCTCTATTGACTGTAAGGCCAGTCCAACAGTAACTCGCTACTCTGGTTCACAATACTACCTGGCCTGGTACCATCAGAAAAGTGGAGAAGCTCCCAAACTTCTGATCTACCAAACATCAGAAAGATTTTCTGGAATCTCCTCCAGATTCAGTGGAAGTGGAGCAGGGAATGGAGTTGACTTCACTCTGACCATCAGTGGAGTTCAGGCTGAAGATGCAGCAATTTACTACTGTCAGAGTTATCATAACATCAACAGTCAGGGTGTGTGATAAAGCTTCGTACCAAAACCTCCTTCAGTCAGACTGAACAGAAACTGAACTGACTGCTGCAGCTGGAAGCTACTGTGGATGTATGAAGGAGATCCTGGATATGAACCCACTGGGCTGAACTGCTGGTCTGATCTATGTTCATGTGCTGCCCTCTAGTGTTAAACTTCAGCAACAAGTAAGTTTGCTGGCTGGTTTCTGGAGGAACGCGGAGACAGACCCATGTGCTGATTAATTTGGATTCAAGGCATTTAAACAGATTATATTTAATGCAAAAATGTATTTACAGAATGATGCAGTGGGTCAATCATCAAACAATCATAAAGATGTTTTCAAATAAAAATAATAAATAAAATAATAAAAATAATTTCCAAACCATTTGGTCTTCCAAATGTTTCTTCAAAATTAATCTGAAATTTCATTGTCTATCACTCATGTAGTTTAGACATGTTTTAAGTTAAGCAATTTAACATGCTGTGAATATAATTTTTTTAAAGTATTCGTAAAAACACTGTAATATAGTTAAAAACAGCTGTAAGATCTTCAAGTTATTCTCCTGACAACTATCCGTAACTATGCTGGTATATAAACAAAAAATAAAATAATTATATAATATGGAATTATATAAAATATGTTTAGTGAGAAAACAATGAGGAGTCTAGACTATATCATGCCTACATATGTGTTGCCTCAGCAGGGATGATATTACATGAGAAAAGTTGATCTACAGGAGAAACAGATCTGAAAGCAGCACAGAATGACTGAGAGTCACGTGCTACCTGAATTTTGTGTTTCCTTTTACATCAATAAAAACATTTCCATCATAAATTGGTGCAGAAACCTTCAACAGAATGCAGGAAATTAAGTGTCTGAAGATCTAAATAACCCTAACCCCGCTCATATTATTGATGATATCTTTAAACACTATTTAAGGATCTTTTTGTCTCGTTCTCATGCAACTAATATTGCAGTGTCTCGCAAGCTAAGTGTCTCTTCACACACCTGATCTCATGTCCCCAAAACTTTTCAAGACAAAGTGACACCTTCAAATGCCGCAGAAAGGTTTGTTTTTCTGAAACAAGCGGTCAAAGTGACAGCCTATGACCCGTCAGTTGCTGTGATGCTGCAGCGAGAGGACTGATGGGTAGTGAAGTAGTAAGTACTCAAGTGCTGCACAGTTCTGAGGTTCTCATACTCCACAATTCAGAGGCTGATTTTGTACTTTGTATTTACATCAATTTGACAGCAGGAGTTATTAGTTACTTTTCAATTTAAGATTTTGCAAACAGTATAAATGTATATATAAAACACATAACCTTATAAAATATAATGCATTGCTCAAAGATTAAATCAGAGGTTTCTAAAACAGTTGTTTAAACAGCCCCACCTCAAGCTACAACAGTGAAATGCTGACACCGCATTAAACACTAAATTCTGAGGGGTCGCACTTTTTAAGATTAGCCTTTATTCATCACCAAATAAATCACTTTAATAATACATGCAACAAAACAATAAAGGAAAAGTCACTGAAAAGTTGTATACAAGATGCATTACAACACATAGGCCATAAAGATGATATTTGCAAATAGCTGTGCATTCCACTGCCAGTTTATTAATAATTAGGACTGGCTAAAACTAATGCAGTCAATACAACTTATAATAAATCATGAAGGTTATGATGTTCCACTTTGTTGAAACTGTTTTAGAGAGGAAATTATTATTACGTTACACTGACACCCAATTTCTATCAGTGAGGGTAGGCCGAGTTACACAGTAAACCACAGTAATCCTATTCAGTGATAAATATATAATATATAAAAATAAACGAAAGATTATGAACAGCTCCAGACACTTGCAACAGTGCAGTCTGTTATATAAGCAATAAAAGAAAATGTTAACAAGAATATAGGAGAGGAAGAAGTCATGTTCTGATTAAGTAGGGAGTCTGACCAAGAGCCTAGTTTATTCTCAATCTACTTTTTGAGAAAGAAAGATCCCCTAATTAGCTTTCTTTTAATTCAAATATGTTTAACATAAAGGCATTAACAAGGCAAAGGTATTTGTCATAATCACAAAAACATTTCTCTGAATGTATTTAATGGAATAAAATGTCTTTCTGCACATCACTGTTCTCAGCAACATTAAATATAGCATTAATGCCAACACAAACTGATTTTTCATAATGTTTGTCTGCAGACACCCAGCAGCTGTTGGTGAGTAAAGAAGAGGTTCCCCCTGAGCAGCAGCAGCAGCAGCAGTGGAGCCCCAGGCTGGACCAGGAGGACCCACCAGAGCCGTCGCACATTAAAGAGGAACAGGAGGAACTCAGGACTTGTCAGGAGCGAGAGCAGCTTCCAGGTATGTAGGAGGCTGAGATCACCAAGTTCCCATTCACTCTTGTCCGTGTGAAGAGTGAAGAAGATGATGACAAGAAACTCATACAGCTGTTCAGATTGTGGTAGAATATTTGGCCAGAGGGCAGAGACACGTGAGACGTCACACAAGAGAGAAAATGAATTAGTTTGCCAAATAGGTTCTGTGCCCTTGTATTATTTCATTTGTCTCTATAGTTTGCTTAGAGGAAATATAAATAGTTATTTTATATGTCTCATTGTCAACAAATCCACAAAATACATTAGTATGTCTCACAATACTTCCTGACTTCCTGTTTGTGGCTCTCAGCTTCAAGCCCATTGGTTCCTTCTGAAGATGTTAATCTCTAAAAACACTTAAAGGCTCACTAATTTCACTGTAGTTTTTAATCAAACAAAGAGGAGGAAATGGTAAATTTGTTGGGGGCTACTTTCAGCGGTGGATGAATCCACATGCTGTGCTTTGGTGAGCATTTGGGGCAGCAGTACAGTTTTTGTGGGACTGAGTCAGAATAAACTACAGTGTGTGTTCATGGTGATGAAGAAACATGTGACCCAGTGCAGCAGTGAGGCTCACTGATGGGGTTTAATAGTTTCTGGATGAGACTTCAGGCTGTGAGACACATAGGACTCGTTAGGAGACACATTCACTGCTGGTTTCAGTCTGAACATGAGATTTGTTGATTCTGTAAGGTGTATTATTAGAAATTTGTGGACACAAGTCTGTAATATGTGTGCACAGAGTTTCTCAGGGGACTAATTATCAACGTTTAAGCCTTTAAACCGGCTGTGCTCTAGAATTCTGCTCCACCAGGAGTATGGAGTAATAATCAGTGCTTCTGTTCTTTCAAATGCAGTGTCGTTTCATTCAGCTACTCCACCCAACAGAAGCCTTCTGTAGTTTATGGCTGACTGCTGAAAACCTTTGTTAAAAATAAAAGGTTATTTGTTTTGAGAAATGGGTTTGTCTCATTTCTTTGCAGATTGTTACCATATTTGTGTCTTTGTTACGCATGGCAACACGACCAGCATTCATCATGGAGTCAAACCAACAACCTTCTGCACAAGTTCACTACTGACTGCTCTTATCAGCGCTCAGCGAGTTGCTTCTCCCAATACACAGCAGAACACATGCAATATTCTGCAAATGCATTTAACCTTACATTCGTATTCAGATATGTTTAGGTACTGATTGTGGTGGGTCCTCCTGGTCCAGACTGTGAATCCACTGCTGCTGCTCTTCTTTACACACCAACAGCAGCTGCACGGAAACATAGATCTAGAGAGGTTTTCTTGTAATTGATTAATTAATAACTTAATGTTATAATAGGTTAATGTCCTCAAAACAAAAAGTCTTAATGTGTCCTCTTCCCCGCTGTAGACAGTATGACTAGTTATAAAATTTTTAGCAAGTGGTTTTCAAGGTTCTACATCTATAAAGTAAATGTGGTTTTGTGCTGCAGGAGGCTATTTAATCCTTTTATATTGACTTTCCGTCAAACTCTGTCACTACTGCAACCAGGAAGGTCACCAGCTCAGAATGGGCAAGTATTGATTTTAACAGACTTAAAAAACTGGGTTAATCTATACATCACTTCATTAAATTTGGTGAACACTGCAGACACACTACATTGTTTCATTCACGGAAAAATAACTATCAAATCCTATTAGAGTCTGGGCAGAATCAGCAGCAAATCACAGCTTCTTGTACTTTCTTTTCCATTTCATGCAACTTTATACCACTTCTGCACTTTATCTCAGAGGCAGATATTGTACTTTTGCTCCACTACATTTCTGGCAGCTTTAGTTACTGGTTGCTGTGTGCTGAGAAAATCCTTCTCCGCCTTAAGCTAAATAAACTATTGTGTCCAAAGGACAAGGATCGGGAAGCTCTGGGTGTGCAGTTCCCCACCTGTTTTATGCCTTGACGGATGGGCATCGTCACCCTGATTGGCAAAGAGGGGATTCACCAAGCTGCTCTCAATCATTGTTGAGGAGTCAGTCCCCTTACCCTGTGCAACAGGTGATGTCAATGATCCTCTAATCTACCAAGAAGGATGTTGACATGGAGCCAAAATAAATGGAAAAAGGACAATTAAAAAATACGTATTAATGAATGAAGGGTTGCTACATCCGTGGCACGTGCAAACTGGCATATTGAGGCATAGATAGATAGAAGTGTTTCATTGCTATGAATAAATCTCTGTTTTTCCTACAAAGACAGAGGTGATACGAATAACCCATTACACAGATTAGCTATAGCCTAACAATGGGCCTGTGTCCACAAAAGCGTTCATTACCAGCTGAAAACACCTGGCTGGGGGCACTAAGGTGCGCTTTGGAGGTGCACCGGCTTTTTTTCGAGACGCTGTGGTTGCCATGATAAATAATTTCCGTGGAGGTGATGTGTTGCAAGTAGGCTACCAAATTTTACTGTGTAAAAAAATGTCACCACAAAGTAGGGTAGGCCTACTTGCTTTGGCTCTCGCTTTGCATGAAGTGAAGGCTGAAACATGAGAGGACAGACTCTCGTACGTACGTGGGTTCTTGAGATTTTGCGGACGAGGAAACAACTCGCAGAGTAGGCACATCGTTTCGTTCAAGATCGGATGTGCTCGCTGTGGTGTTGTCCCGCCCCTCCCGCACTTTGATTGGACAGCTGGGTAAAAAGTGTCAGTAACGAGCACTGTGTTTTTCCCCAAAGTTGAACATTTTTCAACTGTTGGCGACTGGAAAAAACGCACAGGCCTCGTCACACTGCTGCCGTTTGTACCATGTTGTAAAAACGCGGCGCTCCCGTTGCAATGACTAGAAAAAAAGATGCTGGCCTCAGGAAAAAAACGCTTTGGTGGACACGGGGCCTAAAGCTTATTTATATAACACAAACATCAGGATAAATGAAATACTCAGCCCAATTTCAAAAACTTTGAGCAAATATCACGCTTTTGAGCCACCCTAAATCACAACAGGGTAAAGATCTTCACCATGACATCACTACTCATCTCTGTCACTAGAAACTGGTTCTGCAGAACCTGGATCATCTATTACTGGATCTTTCAGTAAAAACCTGCACATAATCTAAATTCCTCATTTACACTGCTTTCTCGCATGAACTTGAAGTAACTCCAAATCTAGCACCAGTATAGAGAACAGCATTGTTGTAGGACTGTGAGGAACCAGTCATGTTAATCCCTGCTTTCCACATGGAGGGCCAGAACACTAGTGTGGGGATGCTTTTCTGAAGAACAAGCAAAGGCACAGACAAGAACTGAGAATGAGAGTCGAGAATGAAAAACAGTTCAGTATGACTGTATTCAGGAGATGTGTGTGTGGTTTTCTGTCAATGAACAAACCAATTTAAACAAAGATTGAAACATTTATCAAAATTTAAACAATGCGGTTCAAAATAAGAACATAGAATAAATATTAAACAAAGGTTTAGTCTTTTGTACAACCAGAGTTTATAGTAACCGCACACAGACCACATCCCAGCTGGACAAACAAACTAACTATCTCCATGACCTCCCAGATGTATCCAATAACAAACACAGAGCGGTTTTCTGCATAAACACGGTTGCATTTCTCCGGTCATGGCTTGTAGGCCGCGCACTGGTGAAGCTCTTATTGCTCCCATATATAATCTGAGAGCCCGGATCACATCTAATCCTCCAAGCTGTTTTTGACGTAGGTCCATACACTCCCATAATCCAAACCTGATCTAATTATATATAGTACATATACACAGCTCCCCAATCCAGCCACACAATGATCTCATCACATTTCTAACCTTTTAAAAAAATGTAATTTCTCATAACAGACGTCAAATAACTACACTTGATAATAATACATTTTATTTCTATAGTTCAGGACACTTTACAGTAAAACCAGAAATTATGTGCATTTATAACAGATAGAAACATAAATAGAAAATTATAAATTATATGAACAGTAGGTAAAAACTTGTGGTGCATAAATACATAAGAGCGAAGGGGCGTCCATATAAATAACAAAATAACAAACAGCAGCAGGTGCAATATAACATTATTTGAGGTTAAAAGCTAAGTCTAAAGATGTGGGGTTTGATAAGTGATTTGAAAGAATCCATGTCGCTGCAGTCTCGGATGTGTATGGGTACTTAGTAATTTTTTCTGAAAGCGTTGGTATTGGACGCCCTGAGATGAGAACGGTCTGGCCGAGGAGATACAACATGTGAACACGTCAAATTGTGACAGTTTGACTTTCAGGCGTTTTTGGGGTGCCACCAAGTTTTGACCCACCAACTGTCACAAAGGATATTATTATGATATGGACCACCACATTGAATGCAAATAACCAGTGTACCATAAAACTCTAAAATGCGACAAAGGCAACTTCTATTAATAAAAATGTATCACATAAACAAAACAATAAACACAATTCACATTTCCACTCAGGGTTCAGTTCAATTCAGTCCAAAAAAAACAGTTCAGTTAATTTAAAGAAGCAAATTAAATTCAGTCCATAAATCAATTGTTGTTGGTTCAAAAAACAAAAGGAGTCTTTTTTCTTCGTCAAATGTTCATCCAATACAAAAATATAGGCACACTGCTCAAAACATACTTTAGGGTCAGCTAAGGACTCCAAGCTAGACCTCCCTGAGAATATTCTATACCAGAGAATAGTATAAGACTTTCTACTAACACTCAAATACTTTTACCTGAGTGAAGTTTTGAATGCAGGATCTCTCTAAAGTAGCTTAATTTATTTCTACTGCTCTCACCAACAAACTTGTGTTTGTTGACACCACAGAGCTCAGTGAATCTTTTATCACAAACCCTGCCACTAGGTGAACAGTCAAGTGTCGTCTCACAGTTCCAAGTTGAGCAAATCTTTTACCAAAAACGAAATGGTTTCTTGTCTCAGACGATCCTTTCGTGCAAATATCTTACCACACACTGAACAACTACATGGTTTCTCCCCTGTATGAAATCTCATGTGTTTGATCAAACTGTCTCCAAGAGTGACAGTTACATTAAGTTTCTCCTCCAGTAGGAAATCTTAAGTGTGAACTCAAAGTTGAGCTAATTCCAAATCTTTTACCAGACTGCATATTTGAAGGGTTTCTCTCCGGTGTGAATTCTCATGTGCCTCACCAAATCTCTTCTCCATAGAAAGATTTTTTTACAAACTGAGCAGCTGAAAAGTCCATCCATCCAATTTCATATGAGCCATTAAGCATTTCTTCCTGGGGTATATTTTACCACAAACTGTGCAACTAAATGGTTTCACTTGTATTTGGGTTCCTTTGCGTTTCAGCAACCGTTGAAGCTGCTCTCCCTCCTGACTGTTCCAGAGCTCCTCCTGTTCCTCTTTAATGTGCGACGGCTCTGGTGGGTCCTCCTGGTCCAGCCTGGGGCTCCACTGCTGCTGCTCAGGGTGAAACTCTTCTTTACTCACCAACAGCTGCTAGAGATCTGGGGAGAATAAAAAAAATTTGCCCATGTTTTAGGAAACTGTAATTTCCTGTTAGCACAGATATAACTACTTTATTAAACATGGGGAGAAACGTTGCACATTTTCTATAACATATTTGGAAATCATTTAAACTAAAACACACTACAAGCATATTGTGTGCTTTGCCTTTTGTCAGAGCAGAAATGCCATAAAATGACTGCGATCAAGGCCGCTGTGACTCCATGCTCATGTTATGTGCACATGTAAACCCAATGGTCCTGCATTCAGATAAACCTCTCAGCTGAAGACATGATGATGTCACAATATGACCCACACTCTGCACTGAATGAAGGTAACCAATGTGATATCTGTCACATAATTCAGGCAAAATGACATCACTGCTCTTCTGAATCTCTCTTCTACTCTACCACCTAGTGACAATCCCGTCTGTGACTGTAATCCATTGCAGTATGAAGTTATCATCAGGGCATTTGAGAGGGGAGTGAAAAGAAAGACTGCCTGTATTATCTAAAAGATCTTCTTAATGAACATTTCGGTAATGTGTGCAACATAAATCATTCTGAAAATACCTCACATTGATCAAAAGGACAAAGAAAAAAACAGAACAGAATGAGGACCCAATAGGGAGCAATGCTGTTGCTCTCACCTCATAGTAGAAGAAACCAGCACCTTCTCCATTGTACAGGAGAATTCATCTACCTTTCGGCACCGAAAGCTTGATGAGAAGGCCGAATATAACAGGACAAAAGGTCAATATTCGTCTGCGTACCATGAACCAAGTGAAGCCTGTGACCAGTCATCTTATCAGGTTTGGAAATATCAGGTCTTTACAAAAACAATTTCATTAATACGAGTTCACACATAAGACCATGCCAGTTTCCAAACTCAAGATTCTCAGAGAAGAAGAGCTGATACAATGGCCTTACACGAAGGATATCAAGATTCGTGAAATAACCTGGCATTGACCTTCTCACCAGCACAAAAGCTCACAAGGCACAGGAACCTTGGGAGATATTCAACAATGAAGGGGATGGACAATACACTGTGAGGACCCTACTGGGGAGGGTCATCTATGGTCCCCTGAGAGGAGACTGACATCAGGGATCAGATTGGCTGAAAATATATATTGTAAACCTACAGTCTGCTGGTAAAACAGTATAATCATGACTTCAGAAAAAGACCCAGAAAGGAATTAGAGGAAATGTCCAGAGAAGAGATAATATTCCTGGATATTTTGAATCACTCAGCAAAAATGACAGATGGACACTACTGCCTAGCTTTCAAACAAATAGCCAAATAGCCTGAGCCGCTACTTTCCAAGAAAGAGAAATTTCATGATGAACATAAAACTTTCCTCAAAGAAATGATTGACAACGGATTTGCTGAAATGGTATTAGTGGACCCGCTGAGTCTAGTTCTAGAGCCCGAGCAATATGGGAATTTTAAGTCTGATACTGATTTCGATATTTGAGGATTTCTTTTTGCCCCACTTCTTTTCAGAAGCACAACATAAACAACACACATTAGGCACAATCTTTGTGTGTTGAGACCTTACCAACATAATACTGAACAAAACAACAACAAAAATATAGTAAAGTTTTGATAAATAAGAGTCAAATGTTAAAAACTACAAAACAGATCCATTATAAACTATTAAGTACTACTAAAAATGAAAATTAAAGGAATTAGTGTATTATGCAGTACAAAGTATCTGGACTGCATATAGAACTGTATATTTACCTACAACAGAAGAACACAAGTTAAATGCTCATCTGCAGACTGGAATGCTTTTAGGGGTGCAACAACTAATCGACTATCGATTATTTAATTTGTCGCCAACGAATTTAATAATCGATTCGTTCATGACGTTATCGGGCCGTAGCGACACCGTCAGCTTAACAGAGTAAAGTGATGTGAACGTTAAAGTTACTAAAACAACATCAGAGCTGCAGTAAAACCTTCACACCCTAAAACCTCCAGAGTGTGGCAGCATTTCACTCTTCACTGAGCCAGAAAGGTCGTGACCTGCAGCAAAGCCAAGCTCTCCTGGAAACACCGGAGCATCTGAAGAGGAGGCGCGTAACGTCGTGTCTCTGTGGATGATGAAGACTCGTCTTGGTAAGCTAGTTAGCGAGCTAGCTTCACATTAAAGCCGTGTTACTTCACGTTATGAGCTGAAACGTTTTCTATACAGTTGGTCAATTTGATTGATTGTTACAGTAATGGTGCTGCGAGTAGCACATAATTATTATACACAACGGCCGCGTTATCAGAACGTGATTTCAGTGGAAATTTCTGTTGCTGCAGCAGAAACGTTCATTAAAAGATGCATTTTTGAAAGCAATATTTATTTTTATTGTCTTGACTGTTAATTAGCACATGCCTAAAACATCCTCAGGTATAATTTAAAGGCTAATAGCTAAATGAGAGGCATTGTGTCATTTTGCGATTATTCGTTTCAGTAATCAACAGATAAATCGACTATCAAAAGTCAGTTGCAGCCCTAAATGCTTTTAATATGAAAACACTTATATACACACACATTCACAAATACATAGTCTGCAAATAATCATTAACCACATTAACATAGGAAATTAACACTAACAATGGCTACTGAACTTTTTTGGTACAAAATACTAAACATTGTCTGGACATGATTGAAATATAAGTGTCAAATGGAAATGAGTTTATAAAAAAAGAAATATTCTCTGCGCTGTACCAACCCTGTAACTCAATACAAGCCACAACCTTTTACATCTGGTTATCTAAACCGACCTGACAAATGAATCAGCTTCCCTCAAAAACAATTTCAACCAAAACTGAATATGGTAGGATTAGGACTGCAAGACAGGTAAGACTGCATTAGTTTTAGGTAGGTGTCCCTAATAAACTGTACAGTGTACATATCCTATTGTGAAGTTTCTCACCTAATCTAAGCTCTTCACTCCAACTCTGTTAGCTGGCGGATGAAGGATGACACTCTGTTGTTGACGACTGCCATCTTCCTCTTTACAATTTCTCCTGTCTTACGACTCACTCCGGTTTTTGCGGTGCACTTTGTTCCGTTCTCTGGGTTTAACCTAACAAAGTATCTTTAGGGAAGAGGGAAGAAATTTCATCACATAGGAACTACAAAAAGTAAATGTTTGTGATTCAGGTAAACGTAACAACTCAACATGTGAGAAAAACCTTTGAATCAACAGAAGTGTGAGGAGAAAAAAAAAAGACTCACCGTTGTATGAGTTCCAGGGTCGCACACGCAGGCTCCTGGTATTCTATGTTGAAAACATAGAAGCATCCAAAAAACACAGACAAGGCGTCTGCAAAACCCAGGTGCTCCTCCAAGACAAAGGCCACCTTTCCCTCGATGCTCACCATCCACTTTGTTGCTGAGAGAAACGTTTTCCCTGAAAGATAACAAAGACGAAGTGAACACTTAAAAATAGGTGTGCGAGATTTCTCATCAGGTAAAAAAAAAAAGCTGTCTCACGAGACTCACTGACATTTCTGACATGCTGTCAAGCCACACATTAATTTTCTCACGCAGTGAAATACAAATGTATAACTGATAAAATAGGAGGAGCTGATCAACTCCAGCCCAGCTGATGCCACAACAGCGTACGCCCTGATAGTTATCAACTGCACTGTGAGTCAAGACAGCTGTGACGAGTGGTCACTGACTGGTAGAGTTTTGCAACATAAACATCTTAAAAACTGAAGAGCAGCCTGCTCTGTTTGAGACTGTGAGCTGCACTTTATCAGAGCTGCTGAAGTTATCATGTGCAGATTTGTGGATTTCTGTCTGATCAGTGTTGCAGGTACTTTCAGTTTCACTTGCAATATGCAGTCCCAAACGGAGTCGGTCAAACGGCCTGAAGGGGAAAACGTTACTACCAGCGGATCAATGACGTAACGCACAGCAGAGTAAAGGGCAGGTAGACTTCTCATCAAATTATGACATTAGTCTGGTTATGACTTTTCTCTGGACCTGTCAGGGAACACAGACCAGGTTTTGACCATGAAGAGAAAATCTGAAACACAGGAGCTATTAAAGTCCAGGAGTTTATCACTGAATTAATTTTTCATGGAGGTGAAAAGGTGCAACATGCACATTTAAAGAAGTTACTTCCCCAAACAAAGACACAAAGATGAGGGAAGACTAAATCATGACACAGCAGGGATGATATTACAGGAGAAATGTTGATCTACAGGAGAAACAAATCTGAGAGCTGCATAGAGTGCCTCAGAGCTGCACTGCATTTATTCTGTTATTGATAGGCTTTAGATTTTGAATTGTCACCTGCCACCTGAATCGTATGTTCCTCTTTCCATAAATAAAAATCACCATAAACCGGTGCAAAAAAATTCTTCAGAATGCAGGAAATAAAGTGTTTAATGCTCAAAATTTTGCATCAAAGATTTCTTAAAAATAGTGTTAAAATCTCGTCTCGTCACACGCCTACTTGAAAGCATACTCCAAAATGGACATTTTAACCTGTCTCCAAATCATCAGTTAAGTCTTGTCTTACCAAGCAATATCAGTCTTGGTGTGGCTGGTAGGGTCGTGTCTTTCTCAATGGATGCCTTTGTTGCAGTTGGCTTTAAAACACAAAAAAACCCAAGAGATTACAACATGTCTAAAATACAGTTTAAAAATATATGTATCATGTAATTCACAGTACTTACATCAACCAGAATGAAGATGGAGTCTTCTTTCTCATGAAAGTGCTTCATTAAAAGAAGCACTGCCGCTATGCCGGTCCGGTTCGGCTGCATGGTCGTTGTGTCTCCGCTCTCACTCTGCACGTCTCCGCTCTCACTCTGCACGTCTCCGCTCTCACTCTGCACGTCTCCGCTCTCACTCTGCACGTCTCCGCTCTCACTCTGCCTTTGGAAGAAGTATATGATCCTCTTCCCCTTGCTTTGAAGAGCCTCTGCTACTCGATCACAGATATCAATGCCTGTGAGGGTTTTGAAATGGGCGCAGAGTCCTCTTTTAGTAAAGAGGAAAGGCCATTGTTCTTCAATCACACTGACGCTCGGAGGAGGGCAGGAGTTTATCGTGTGTCGTTGATAAATGTACGTTAAACTCATTGAGTCGTCGATATCTGGCGTGTCTGCAGCTCTGGGGCCAGCGGCCCGAAATATGGCTGTCAGAGTTTTTCTCCTGTCCTCTAAAGATTTAAAAGTCTCTCCTTCTGGTAAAGATTTTGGCTGCCAGTTTATGCAACCGTAGCTGTCGACTTTGCACCGCACTGTTTTTGTGGCAGCGCTGCTTTGAGTCGTTGTCCTTGGTCGCCTTATCCTGTGAGATAAATTGTTTCGGTTCACGTGTTCAACTCTTGTCTTAAGTTGATTGACGAGTGAATAGTAACCTACTCCCAGCTGTTCACCTTCACCAGTTGTGTCTGCAAAGGTCAAAGGATATCTGGACACGATCGTTTTGGCTATCTCTACACAGGCAGCCCTGTTGGGGTTTGGGCAGTGTTCCTGCATGACCCCCACCACGGCTCTCACCATGGCTCTTCTGTCTGCAGGGCTAGCTCTCTGACCTCCTATAACTGCCTTTGAGAGTGAAGCTGGCATCTTGTCCCAAGGAATCTCAACCCGGCTGGTCCACGAGTTCTGTGTTTGTGTCAAAGATAATCCAGGATAGTCGGAGGGTGCACACGGAGGAGTTAGACAGCTTGCATGTCCATCTGTCTGCTGTGTTTCCAAGCATGAGAAGGCCATGGTCTGTTCATTTGGCACGCAGTTGAAGTCGGTGTCCGCTCTACCGTTCAGTGCTATGAAGATAAGGAAAAAATGAACATATTTACAAGTTCAGGTTATTCACAGTATGTACAGTTAACAGAGAATTTAAATTTAATCAATCTGTAGTGCGTTCCATTTACCTCGGAAGTCGGAGCTGGGAATGATGTCACACCCGGAAAACTTCGCTCGGACAGCCAGTGTTTACAAGTTGCCAGGTTAGTTATCGTTACGCCGGTTGTGCGGAGTTTACTCACACCAAACACAGCCGGACAGCACTTTGTGTACGAAAATTTATATGAGACACAAGAACACAGAAGTGTTAATCAACAGTATAAACTACAGCTTTCAGTAACTGTTGATACTCGGGGCAGCCGTCTTGGATCAAAAAGTCCGGGGAGTGCGGTTCTCCCGACTTTCAAAGTCGCAAAGTGGTCGTTCCCTTTGAAATTCCCGACTTCCCGTGTCAAATGGAACGCACCAGCAGACCGGGTTCTTTCTGCTCACATAGTGAAGCATCGTGTTGTTGTGGTAATCCTCTAGTAAAACTTTCAGATATACAACTTCATTCATGACTTTTTGGAGCACAGATGATTTCAACTATTTCTTTTAGTTAAAGCACAACTTTGTCACTACTTCCTCAAAAAGTTCTTGCCCAAGATATGGAGGAAGACCGGAGCAGACGTGAAAAGACCTCAGTGAACTGAAACTGAATAAAATTTGATGCAATCTTTTATAGCCTGGTCAGAGGTCAGTTGTTATACACTGTCATAATAATTTGCAGGTGTTCGTTGTGGGCCAAATAACAAAAGGCAATCCGTCACCATCTACAAAGGTTTTTGCTGCTACTGAAATATTCTGTTAATCCACCAGCAAAATGAAAACCAAGGTTATCACCACATATGGCAGTCAGGTTGTTTCCATCATCCAACAGTAAGCCTAAATCCAAGTATTTTAGTCCTGACCAAACAACTTGAAATCCAGCTCTCTGCAAAGCAAACGGTGCTGGGTCTACAGTGGATCAATTACGTGGCAATATTTCCCCAAGTGTCATGTACACTGCCATGACTTTGTGTGCCATGTTTGTTTGTTTTTTGCCAAAGCAAAGGGAGTTTGTCCAGCTGGGGTTCGAACCCGGGACCTTTTTGCTGTGAGGCCACAGTGCTACAACACAAATACATCAACTTATAGAAAACACTTACACTACGTGCATGTGCTCCTTCTCCTTGTGTGTAATTATGATGTGAAACCAGTAGAGGACTATGGAGGTGAAGACTCTGGACAAGCAGCGAGGGCCAATTGTAAAAGCTTGTTTAAGCTTTAAACAGCTTTTAAAACACTGATCACTCCTGTTTTTGTAAACTGCTCAAGTGGCCACAGATCAACCCGCCCACCAGGTTTTCTCCTGGTGTTGCTGGTGGCTAGTCCGCCTATGTTTTGAACTGATAGCAGTAAGGGTGCAAGAAATAATTGAAGTAGTCAACAAAAATCGATTATTAAATCTAATTAATATCTAAAATGCTTGTTTCCTAAAAGGCGTTCAGATCAGGGATTTGCTATGCATATTTCCTGAATTTAACGTGTAGTTCAACTTCCTTGCTTACTTTTCTTCAAGCAATCTCCTGTTTTGTTTTGTTTTGTTCGGTTTCTGTATAAATACAGAAACCGAACAAAACAAAAAAAGAGAACAAAACAAAAAAGTTGTATAGTACTATATAGTATATAGTGAGTGTAGTTAAATCAGGTGCAGTGAAACCTCTACTTGAGGTTCAGAACGAAGCAGCGCGTCTGGTTTTTGATCAGCCCAAAAGGCCTGATGTCACTCCATTACTCAGCGACCTCCACTGGCTCCCCGTGGCCTCCACAATCAAATTCAAGTCACTAATGCTGCATACAGAGTGACTACTGGGTCTGCACCATCTACCTAAACTCCATAATACAAACTTACGTTCCTTCTCGCCCGCTACGCTCCTCCAACGAACGCCGCCTGGCTCTGCCATCCCTTCACACAAAGCGATCCCAGTCCCGGCTATTCTCATCTGTGACACCACGATGGTGGAACGAGCTACCACACGCCATCAGAGCAGGGGCGTCCCTCTCTAACTTCAAGAACCTCCTGAAAACTCATCTCTTCTTAGAACACTCTGATAACACCTCTAACCTCTAAAATGCACTTCCTGTGCTCTTCTTCAATCTCCTTACAATTATCTTGTATTGACTGCACTATTTGTTAACTCTTACTTCCTTCCCTAGATATTTACCCCATTTATGCCATACGTGCTATTAGCTCTTAGTATATATTGCTGCTCTTACTAGTATGTATTGTCAGTTGTAGATCTCATGCTTTGTTGATACTTGTATGTTGTTCCTCAAATTAAAGTCCCTTTGGATTAAAGCATCTGCCAAATGAGTAAATGTAATCCACTATTTGTAAATCCACTTTTTAAATCCCAAAAATTTTAATTAAAAAGTTAATGTAATAAAAGAAATGAACCCTGAGCTCCTCTCGCCTTTTACTACCGCCAACTACGAAATGCTCACATTGCAAGTGGCTGATGTACCGCTTTTGTTTTCCAATTTAAAATATTTCCACACGGCTGACATTTTATCTGTGTCTTTCCACAAACTGCTCTCTGTTTAAGACACTTGTTGTGCTCAATTAAGCCGATACAGAACAGTTCAACATCCCTTCTCCTGCAGAAATTAATAGAAATTTATCTTATTTTCTAAAAATGTCTACGTGTAGACACAGGTAGGAGGAGCGCACACACTTCTCACCAGACCAGAAAAGAACAACAGGTGACAACTTGCTACAATAGAATTATAATAAATAAAAATAAATATATAAATAAAATAAAACAAATCGGTATGTTCATCTCTTTGAACAACTGCTTGCTGCTGCAATAAACAACAAACTCAACCGCAAATAATAATTGGAAAATCTATTGTGTCTGCATAAGATTTTAGTCCTATAAACAGCTGTATAAACAGTAAAGGAAAAGGACATTGGAATAGTGAATAGTGCTATTACAGTCACAACTAACTTTGATGGTAGAAAGTTGAACATCTTAGGACTTAAGTCCACTTAAAGTTTATGTGTTACAATTTTCATTGTTTCAACTTCAGAGTTTTTCTTCTATTGTTTAGGCAGTTTCAGACAAAAATGCATTCCCAAGATGCCAAAGCCTGATGGTCTGGGTGAATTCAATCCAGCTTTATAGAGACTGTCCAGCCTTCAAAACACTGAGAAAACAAACACTATTCTTGTGCTCATAACACTAATTATCAGGAACATTAGACAGCTCAGATGTTATCTTACCCTGTGATGAGGCCCTGAATAAGAATTCTGTGATCTCAGCCTCCTCCAGCTCTGGAAGCTGCTCTCCCTCCTGACTGGTCCAGAGTTCCTCCTGTTCCTCTTTAATGTGTGGGGGCTCTGGTGGGTCCTCCTGGTCCAGCCTGGGGCTCCACTGCTGCTGCTGCTCAGGGGGAACCTCTTCTTTACTCACCAACAGCTGCTGGACAGCTGTGGAGAATTATGAAACACATGCACTGTAACTTCCCAGTGTTTCCCCTACCACTGATTTGGACTATAGGACCAACGTTTAGCAGCAGCAGGTTTGCAGCAGTCTGCAGTGAGAATAAGCAGTAAAGAGGACAAACCTGCTCTGTGTAACCGGACTTCAGGCTGGAAAACAGCGTCCAGTAGTTTCCTGTGTCTCTGGTTCTCCTCTTTGGAACGACAGAGTTCCTCCTCGTACTCTGATATCGTTCTTTCAAACAGCCCAAATATCTCTTCAGCAGCCGCAGTTAGTCGCTGGTTGATAAAACCTCTCAGCATCTGGACTTTAGACATTTTAAACAAATGAAAAACACAGTCTGGTGTGCTCGAGTTCTCTCTCCAGCTAGCAAGCTAAGCTAACTTCATTTAGCATTCTTGGCTAACGTTAACAGTAGAGAAGTCTGAGGTGAAACTTCCTGAAATGTTTCCACAAAGTCCACGTTTATCGTTGTTTTTATCCATGCATACAGGCTCTGGTTTTACTCTGGGTGCATTTTATGGCAACACACAGTTCGGATGTTTCTCGATCAGTCAGTAAAACTGCTTCCGGTGTCACATCTTCTTCTTCTCTTTGTTAATGGCGGGTTGCAAACAACTCTCAGGTGTACACCGCCTCCTACTGTACTGGAGTGTGTGACAATAAATAATGCCTTCCTGGTGATCCTTTTCTTCTGTTCCCAGCATTCATTTTAACATTTTAGAGACTGTTTTAAGTGCAATGTATGTACTGTCACATGTTTTGTTTTATTCTGATAATTCCCTTTTTATCTAATGCCCAAATTGCAAGTCAAGTTTTAATTAAATTAACTGAACTTATAAATTAAATAAAATTTAACAGGAGCACAGCAAAAACAGTTGACATTAAAGAGGAAACCCACACACACAGATCAATATTTACTCTTTAATTGCCACCAACATTTGGAGCACAAGCTACAGCTCATCAGAACCCTGCACCAACATGTGCCCAAGGCCAAGAGAATAAGCATAACCACCGGAAGTTAGTAGACTTACTGCTTCGTACTTCTGTCTTGGATACAGTATCTGTCATCAATCTTGGTACCAGAGGAGAGAGACGCACTGTTTGCAGCTGGTATCCTCGCCAGCATTATTAATCTACATTTCCCTGGCGGCTAGTTTATGACGCAAGCCGGTCACAAGTCAAACTAACTGCCACAGGTAACTGACATAGACACAATGCACCAAGAGCGCAGGATATGTGGCAATGTCTCAAAGGAGCTTTCTATACATGTAGAAATATCTTTTGTAGCCCAATGACTAATCGATTGATGTCCAACTTCGGCATTAGTCAAAGGTTAGATTGGTAGAGGACAAAAAAGCTGGAAAATAAACATAACATGGCGCAACACTGAATTATTTGTTACTATAATTCATCATCATTTCATAATAAGTATACTGTATAGTTTACTACTATATAATATTAATTCCAATTAGAGTAGTTTCATTTTTGTGGTTTGTTTTTATTGATTAGATTCAGATTCATTCTTTATAGTCCTCTGTGGAGGAAATTTGTTTTCACAGACTGTACAAAGAGCATCTTCATCACAAATAATACACACAAATTACAGATAATACACACACTGTACACATATTAAATCTTTGCGCAAGAAAATGGTCTCTAATGTGTTAATGCTAATTTCTAACTCGTCAATAATAACCCCATCAAGGCAGAACAATGAGTTCAACATTGAAAGTTTGCATAGCACCTCGAAGTTTTTATATTATTCAGCCCCTCCCAGGCTGCGATTGGTCTAAAACTGACATTGACGAGCACATAAACTTTGTGAGAAGTTGAGCAGGATTCGAAAAAAGGCATCTGATAAAGCTTAATAGTAGGGGTGTGACGAGACTCACATTCATTTTCTCAAGCAGTGAAATACAAATGTATAACTAATAAGACTCAAGGAGCAAATCAACTCCGCCCAGCTGATTGACACCGGCGTGTGCTGTGATCAGCTGGACCCGCACGCACTGTGAGTCCAGACCTTTTTAGATGCTCTGTTTAGGACTGTGAGCTGCACTGGAAGTTGATGTGTGTGGATCTGTGATGAGATTTCTGCCTGTTCAGAAGTGTTTCATTTACTTTTGGTTTCAAATGCAACCCCAAACTGTGTCAGTCTGAAGGGAAAACGTTACTACCAGCGGATCAATGACGTAATGCACAGCAGAGTAAAGGGCAGGTAGACTTCTCATTAAATGATGACGTTAGTCTGGCATTATTCTGCCTTTATTCTGTACCTGTTAGAGAACACAGATCTGTGGGAGAGACTCTAAATGTGCAGTAAGTTTTGAACATGAGCAGAAAATGTGCTGAAACACAGGAGCTACTAAAGTCCAGGAGTTTATCACTGAATAAAAATTTATTTATTTATTATTAAGGTGAAAAAGAGCCACAGTCACATTTAAAGAGGTTACTTCCCCAAACAAAGACACAAAGATGATGTTAAATAAGAGAGCAGCCCAGAATGACTGAGAGTTGCACTGACTTATATTCTATGGCTACAGATTTTGAATCATCAGCTGCCACTTGAATTTTGTTTTTCTCTTTATATAAATAAATCAATCACCATAAACTGGTGCAGAAAAATTCATCAGAACGCAGGAATTGAAGTGTTTAATGCTCAAGATTTTGAGTACTTCTTCCACCACTGTGTCTCTCTCTCAACAAGTAGCTTCATTTATTCCTGATGCGTTTACCAACACACTCGTGGTTTTTGACTATATAGAGCCGAGTGAATGTTTTACCACAAATATTGCATCTAAACGGTCTCTCCCCTGTGTGGACAGTCAAGTGTTGTCTCAGGCGATCCTTTCGTGCAAATCTGTTTCCACAAACTGAGCAACTAAATGGTTTCTCCCCTGTGTGGACTCTCATGTGCCTCACAGCATCAGCTCTCCATTGAAATGTTTTTTTACAAACTGAGCAACTAAATGCTTTCAGTACTGTTTGAATTCCATTGCGTTTTGGCAAATGTTCCTCCAAATTCTCCTCCCAATCACTGATGTCTTTAGTTTCATGAGTAGCTGGTTGTAAAAGACTATCTGGGTTAAAGTTCCTGGCTGGTTCTTGTGCTCCACAGTCCTCTCCATCAGTTTCTGTTTTCAAATGCTCTGCACCTCTGTTCTCTTCAGTCTGGTTTTGATGAAGCTGTGAGGACTGAGGTTTCTCTTCATAATTTTCTTCACTCTTCACAGGGACAGGAGTGAATGGGAACTTGGTGATATCAGCCTCCTCCAGTCCTGGAAGCTGCTCTCCCTCCTGACTGCTCCAGAGCTCCTCCTGTTCCTCTTTAATATGTGGCGGCTCTGGTGGGTCCTCCTGGTCCAGCCTGGGGCTCCACTGCTGCTGCTCAGGGGGAACCTCTTCTTTACTAAACAGCACTGAGCAACTAACTAATGTTTGGGTTCCCTTATGTTTCTGCAGAGGTTCCTCCCAATTCTCCTCCCAATCACAACACTCATTATTCTCACGTTCAGAGGAGAGTGAGGTCTTGTCATGAATAACTGGTTGTAAATTACTATCTGAATTAAAGTTCCGGGCTGGTTCTGGTCCCCCAGAGTCCTCTCCATCAGTTTCTGTAAAGAGTGGCGGCTCTGGTGGGTCCTCCTGGTCCAGCCTGGGGCTCCACTGCTGCTGCTCAGGGGGAACCTCTTCTTTACTTACCAACGGCTGCTGGACTTCTGGAGAATAATGAAATACATGCACATTTTAGGAAAGAGTAATATACAGTTAACACTCAACCCTCTGGTGCCTCTATAATAAACATGGCAAGAAACACTGCACATTTTCTACACCATATTTGGAAGTTATTCAAACTAAAATGGACTACAAGCGTGTTGTGTGCTTTGCATTTCGTCCGAGCAGAAATGCCATTATATGACTGCAATCAAAACAGCTGCGACTCCATGTTCATGTTATTTGCACATGTAAACCCACCAGTCCTGTAGTCCTGTTTTCAGATAAACCTCTCAGCTGAAGACATGAAAGTGTTTTACTGCTCAAGAATGTGAAGAAGCCATTTTGTTTCTGACCGCTTATAACATAGATATAGATACCACACTGGCAGTGCTGCCGTTCGTTGGTGCGATGTGTCAAAGTGGCCTCCATATTGGTGCAAGGAAGCCATGCCCTCTAATGCATGCATGTCTATGTAGGCAGTCCACAATTGAAATAATCCCAACTCCCAGAATATTTACAGCACTGCGTTACTTTTTACAAATGAGAGACAGAAACAGACCGTAAACGTTACCGTAGTGACCTATAAAGAAAAGTGGTTGTCTCGAGTCGGATGCCAAAGTGTGTGAGTGAGCGAGCTCACAGCAGCGCCCACAAAACACAGCGTTAGAGGTTTGAAACGTTATCATGAGATGTGTCAAAATATTTTCGGTACATTTTTAAACTATGGTGGAACAAATTAGACTGTGGAGGACAACACTTACTTTGGTTAGATGCAGGATATTTCTTCAAGATTTTGACAGTCTTTTATGACAATATTGACTGTAAAAAGAATACATATATTTTGTATATATAAACTTCTTTATCTTGTCTGGAAGATTTTACACGTACAAAAGCAAATGGTCTAAGAAAAAACCACAAATACATTTTTAAAAAGATATAAAGCATTATATTTAAAGAGGTTTTAGATGTTTGGAAAAGCAAAGCAATTAAAGTTATTAATGATTTAAATATTTTTCTTTAATGCCTTTGTTGCTTGTTACGTAATGACCCTATGAATATAGCTGTCATGTCAGATTCAACCACGGACCCCCTTTTGAGAAGATCTTGTCCCAGGACCGCCAAAATCTATGACCAAAGTAATCATGTGTTCAGTCAAAATGTTACTGTTACTTCCAGAAAGGCCCTTATGTGCGCTCCCTGGTTCAGTCTTGTCCACAAGCAGTTCGCAACAGCACGTCTACATTACACTTGATTTATCACCACTGTACACCTGCGACCTCAGAGTTATGTTTTATTTAATATATAATGTTATATACAAAACTCTCATTCTTACCTGCGTTTGTTTTCATACATATTGTCTGAACATTGCTGTTGGAGGGAGCAGAAAAACACGAGTTTTTTTTGCCACTGACTGCTTTGTTGCTGTTGTTGTTGTTCTTTTGACAATTAAAACCTTGAACTCTTTCAGTAGCAGCAGTTTGCAGTGAGAATAAGCAGTAAAGAGGACAAACCTGCTCTGTGTAACCGGACTTCAGGCTGGAAAACAGCGTCCAGTAGTTTCCTGTGTCTCTGGTTCTCCTCTTTGGAACGACAGAGTTCCTCCTCGTACTCTGATATCGTTCTTTCAAACAGCCCAAATATCTCTTCAGCAGCCGCAGTTAGTCGCTGGTTGATAAAACCTCTCAGCATCTGGACTTTAGACATTTTAAACAAATGAAAAACACAGTTTGGACTCAGAGTTCCTCCAACCAGCGCTGTGTGGCCGAGTTCCGTCTATTTCCAGCTAGCAAGCTAAGCTAACTTCAGTTAGCATTCGTGGCTAACAGGAGATGAAAGGTGAAACCAAAGTTTCCACTTTAACACGTTTATCCCACTGACTGTATAAAAGAAGGTTTATCCAGACATACAGGCTCTAGTTCACTCCGGGAACACACGAACACGTTGGCGTGCTGACAAAGGAAGGAAATGCGCTTCCGGTACCACGTCTTCCCACACCTTCAAAATAAAAGTTTGTGTAGAAAGAACAAAGTCCTATCTGATGAACTAAGAAGCAGAAAGAGCAGCACTCTCTTTATTTTAGACAACACAACACTGTTCATCCCAGAGGTAGTCAACATATACAAGTAAGTAAATAAACTAAATAAAAAATAAAAATTATGTATCATCTGTCCATCAGAAAATAATCAAACACAAAAGTGATTTTAATTGCAAATTATCATGAGAGAAGCTGAAACGATGAAATGTTTTTATACAATCAAAATAGTTGGCAATTAATTGACTAATCGTTTCAGCAGTACTTCATTTATATTTAAAACAAAACATTATATTTTATAAACACTTCATATGTAAAGTATATTTCCCTCCGAGATGTCGCGGAGTTTAAGTAGAAAGTGGCACGAAAATAAATGACGCAAGTAAAGTAAAAGTACCTCAAATTTGTAGTTAAGTACGGTTTTAAGGTTCTTGCACTGGAGGTACCTTTTAATACTTGAAATACATTTTAAAGACACTTTTACAGATGCATTGCTTTTACCTGTAATAGAGTACTTTTACTTCTGATCTGATGTAACTAGAAATCACCAGTATACAGTGAAAGGTGTGACTGCAGCTTCTAAATAAATTACATTATTAATAGACTAGTTTGATTCACTTTAGTCTGTACTACACTTCCCCAGGATTTTATTTTCTCTGGTGTCCATCCAACATTTTGGTGACTGACGGCAGGTCATGCTGCACTTTGCTGAACATGACATGTCAGTTCATGTTCTCTGGTGTCTTAAAGGTAAATTGCAGTTTTTCTTGAAGGCTTAAACAAAATAATCAGGCTTTTCAACTATAATAATAAAACCATAATGCCATTTGTCAAAAAGCACACCCATTTCCCTAAACTGCTTTAACACATGATTCAGGTTTGTTGAACTGTCTCTGCAAAACTCTACACACAAATCCCTTCATTTCTCATTGCCTACACCATGTGGTCATTTAGAAAGCACTAACATTCAATACTGTTCACTCAAGTCAGCACAGGTTGAGCTCAGTTAGCTCACAGCTACCCAGGTGGAAACACAAAGAGTCATAATTGGTCACAAACCAATCACAACCTTCAATAGATAAATAAAAGGGCTGAGTAAGTTCATTCAGTTTTGGAACAACGGATCCAGAGAGATGTGAAGAAGATGTCCAGGACACCAGAGAGGAGGAGGAGGAAGTGCGGTAGGGAGAGGAGGAAGAGGACGAGTTTCTCTGGCCTGTCCCAGACCAAAGACGGGATGCTGGGGCAGAATAATTTGAATGTGTATTTTTTCAATTTCCCTATGTTGCTTTTATGTTTTATGTAAAGCACTTTGAATTACCTTGTTGTTGAAATGGGCTATACAAATAAACTTGCCTTGGTGTATTGTGGAAGCAAATATTCATAATTGGTCACAAACCAATCACAACCTTCAATAGATAAATAAAAGGGCTGAGTCAGTCCATTCAGTTTTGGAACAACGGATCCAGAGAGATGTGAAGATGTTCAGGACACCAGAGAGGAGGAGGAGGAAGAGGAGGAAGAGGACGAAGAGGACGAGTTTCTCTGGCCTGTCCCAGACCAAAACAGGATGTTGGGGCAGAATCATTGTTTAGTTGTAGGGTGTATTGGACTGTACGGTACATTAAAGGTTTAATGTGTAAGTTTTAGTGGCATCTAGTGGTGAGGGTCGCAAATTGCAAGAGGCTCACTGTGCATTCAGGTGCTCCTCCTCAGTGTGTGTTCATGTGCTCTTAAGTCTGAATGTGGAATCAACATGGACGCTACTACAGAGATGTGTTGGATTATAATTATCAGAGCATATAATCAACACGCAGACATCTAGTTCACTCTACATGGACAGCAAACTAACATTTATAACAAATTATATGATAGCAAAATATCTATATGTAATATGTGATTTTGGAGGAATCAAAGTTTAGTATACTTCTCACACTGCAGCTGAATCTCCCGTAGGGTCAAAACGTGTTGTCAAAAACCCTTACTACAAACTGAGCAGATATAAGGACTCTCCTCAGATTGGATTCACGCGTCTATGCAACTTTTTCTACACTGGTGAAAATATCCTGTTTCTCACCTGTGTGGGTTCTCATGTGTATCACAAAATCTCTTTTCCTTGTACAACGTAAGCCTTTAGTCGGTCGCCACATGATAATACTTACTTAAGGTTTTCAATGCAGGACTTTTACTTGCATTGGAGTATTTTCAGTGTGGTATTTGTAATTTACAAACTTGGTATTTCTTCCACCACAGTATAATGCTATTTCTTGTATTTATATACAATATACACAAAAGTGAATCCAACCCTCACATTTTTTTAATATTTGATTCTATCTTTTCATGTGACAACACTGAAGAAATGACACTTTGCTGCAATGTAAAGTAGTGAGTGTTCAGCTTGTACAACAGTGTAAATTTGCTGTCCCCTCAAAATAACACATCACACAGCCATTAATGTCTAAACTGCTGGCAACTAAAGTGAGGACATTGCAGCAAAGTGTCATTTCTTCAGCGTCGTCACATGAAAAGATATGATCAGATATTTACAAAAATGTGAGGGGTGGACTCACTTTTGTACGAGACGCGCAGAGTAAATAAATGTGTTAAAAATTAGGGTGGTAAATTTCAACAATGAAACACCAGGATGGACGATGACCTTGATAAGCTACGTAATTAACAGCGCAGGAAGAAGAGAAGTTGAGGCAGGTGCAAAGCAAGTACATTTACAAATAATAATAATGTCCGTGGGGATTAAAACATGCTTTCACATGGTATTTATGTGCAGGGGGTTTGGTCGTCATCCCCCAAGAATTTTTTCCAGTACAGAAATATGCAATTCCACATAATTTTGGAACACTGTTATTACCACCACTGTGAATGACAAGTAGGAAAATCTAGAGCAGATCTGAATAAACTACACCCTAAAAGCTAAACTTGCTAAATAAGTCTACTGGATTTGAATTATAACCATTAGATCTGTGTGATTAGTTTTGTTGCTCTCCACAATGATTTTAAATTCATGGCGCAGCACCAAGCAGTTTTGAGCGTCATCGCCTTATAATGGCAGGAAAACACCGTTAACATGACCTCAGAATTATTACAGAGAGGATTATTCATGTTTGCCTTTTGTGTCTAAATTTACTGCTTTATACATTTGTAGAAATTAACATAAAAAACAGGCAACATGAGAACCACCTCTCTTCTGTATAATTACAAGCATTTCATGTGTACATTAAAACCCAAAAGAATAATCTGCTCATTAGCTTAAAAGGACCAGTTTACCTAATTAGCTTTAACGTTACTAACCTCAGCTCCTCCGTGGTCACCAACATCCTTTCTTATAATTTAACTATCGAGATGTGCAGTACAGGACTGAGCTGTAACCCGACAACTTAATGTTAATCTTATCCATCGCTCTAGTAATTAATGATAACAACTTTGGCTATAATGCTGTAAAATAATTCTCAACAAGGAAAAAAACATTCCAAAGCGCCTCGGGAGCATTTCAATGAGCATTAGTGTTACATGGATGTTGAAAATTTAAGACCCTTGTTAAATTATTTAAGACCTAGAACACAAACTTCACAATTTGGTCATATTGCGATTATTGTGGACAATATTGTCATTATAAGGGAACAAATGGTACCGAGTCTACTTGCTTGATTGTCAAGGTAAATGTTTTTCTCTACTTGGACAAAGTTAAATAACCAATATGTATAACAATAACTTTAGTAAAACAGAACAAGGGGTGCGTGATGTTTTACGGAGGAGACGACTAAAAGGAGCAAATACTGGCACACTGGATCTAAATCTACATCTGTCCACTGCACAGGCTCTATCCACAACCTGGAGGAGGAACTAGTATACATGACTGTATTAGCATAATATTATAACATTAAAGGAGACCTATTATACTGCATTTCCAGCCCTATATTGTAGTTCTGTGACTCCTCTATGGCAGCTTTGCTTGATTCAAAGTCTTATACTGGTTCTTCATGCAGGCCTTCATTTCAGCCTCTGTCTGAAACAAGCTGTAGATGCTCCTGTCTCTTTAAGGCCCCCCCTCCAAATCCCACTGTCTTCTGATTGGCCGTTGTTTTACGTGTTTACCAGGTTGCTGCAGAAATAGGGCTGTTAGTAGAAAAACTGTTTAAAACAGAGCATTCAGAGAACAGGGAGATATCTGAGGTTTTGGCTCAATGGGATTTCTTTTAAATACTTTGACACTATTTGAAGCTTTGGCCGTGTTTAACGTGAACATCTGACATTGTAACATTATAGTAATGACAGAAAATATGAAAAAGCATAATAGGTCCCCTTTAAATATAGAGTATAATGTTCAGTTAATTGTATACATTTAGAATAATATTACTATATTCATTATAATTTCATTTAATAGTTTACTATTTTACCACTAGTTGAATATTAAATCCAGTTACAGCTGATTCATTTCTGTGGGTTGTTTTTATTTATTTAATCCTTCTGCAAGCAAGATGATCTATATTGGTCTCTAATTTGTTAATGCAAAAGTATTAACTTGTCAATAATCATATTGTTCAACATTTAATGATTTGCTGTAGTACGATAAACTTTTCATAATGTCCCGCCCCGTCCAGGCTGTGATTGGTCGGTTGACGAGAAGTGACTTACATCAGCTTTATAGATTTAGGAAAAGTTGAAAATCAAAAGGCAGTAATACAGCTAACGTTAACTGGCCAGCGATCCAAAGCCAAATCTTCTTTATCTTATCCCTGTTTTCTTCTGTCGTGCCGCTTTAGCTGCCAACGACACGTAACGTTGCTGTAACTGTCTCTGTCACAGAGCAACAGGTGTTGTGCCGAATTCTTCCTGCCTGCTGAGAGTTGCATGCACCTCGCGGCTGATAACGCTCATTTATGCTGACAAGAGAGATGGATGCAAATCTCTGCAGGTAGCCTACAACATCTCTTCTGGCGAAATCTGCATCCACCTCTTAAAGTCCTTTTCAGACACTTTGCTGTGCTCATTGATCAAACGCGGTTATCACCACATATTTTAGCTGATTCTCAATGAATGTGTGTAACGAAATATTAACAACTCTAAACGTTCAAAAAAAAAAAAAAAGGTTATATAGGCCACTTCGAATCATTTGTCACCATTGATGAATCCCATGAAGGATAGTATAGCGTTTAAAAGCAGTAGCTGAGTTTTGCATGCAATTCTCGGCAGCCATGCAAAACTCGGCATAACTTTTTCTGCTTAAATCGCACACTTTTTGCAGTTATTTAATCGCACATGACCACATCGCGACTGCAATTAGGTTAATCGTGCAGCCCTAAATGTTGATTTTGAAATTTTTGACTCTGACCAACGTTCAAAAAGCAGCTTCATTTTTTACCATTTGCGTATCTTTTGACACTGTGGAGCCGAGTAAATATTTTACCACAAAACTAAACTAAACGGTTTCTCCCGTGTGAATTTTAGAGTGTCGTCTTAGATTTCCCTTTTCTGTGAATCTTTTACCACAAACTGAGCAGCTAAATGGTTTCTCCCCTGTGTGGACTTTAGCGTGTAGTCTCAGAGTTCCCTTTTGTGCAAATCTTTTACCACAAACTGAGCAGCTAAATGGTTTCTCCCCTGTGTGGACTTTAGCGTGTAGTCTCAGAGTTCCCTTTTCTGTGAATCCTTTACCACAAACTGAGCAGCTAAATGGTCTCTCCCCTGTGTGGACTGCAAAGTGTGGTCCAAGATTTCCCTTTCGTGCGAATCTTTTACCACAAACTGAGCAGCTAAATGGTTTCTCCCCTGTGTGGACTGTAGAGTGTCGTCGAAGATTTCCCTTTTCTGTGAATCTTTTACCACAAACTGAGCAGCTAAATGGTTTCTCCCCTGTGTGGACTGTAGAGTGTCGTCTCAGAGTTCCCTTGTCTTTGCATCTTTTACCACAAACTGAGCAGCTAAATGGTTTCTCCCCTGTGTGGACTGTAGTGTGTCGTTGCAGATTTCCCTTTTCTGTGAATCTTTTACCACAAACTGAGCAACTAAATGGTTTCACTCCTGTTTGGGTTCCATTGTGGTTCTGCAGATGATCCTTGTGGCCAAATCTTGCAGCACATTCAGAGGAGCTAACTGAGGTTTCTCCAGTGTTACATTCCTGATCACTTACAGGTACTTCATTGTTTTGCAGAGGGTTTAAACCTGGCTGAGGTTCCCTGGTCTCCTCCCAATCACAACTATCATCAGTCTCAGGTTCAGAGCAGAGTGAAGTCTGGTCATGAGTATCTGCTTGTAAAGGACTATCTGGATTAAAGTTCCTGGCTGGTTCTGGCCCTCCACAGTCCTCTCCATCAGTTTCTGTTTTCAAATGGTCTACATCTCTCTTCTCTTCAGTTTGGCTTTGATGAAGCTGTGAGGACTGAGGTTTCTCTTCATCATCTTCTTCACTCTTCACAGGGACAGGAGTGAATGAGAACTTGGTGATATCAGCCTCCTCCAGCTCTGGAAGCTGCTCTCCCTCCTGACTGTTCCAGAGCTCCTCCTGTTCCTCTTTAATGTGCGACGGCTCTGGTGGGTCCTCCTGGTCCAGCCTGGGGCTCCACTGTTGCTGCTGCTCAGGGGGAACCTCTTCTTTACTCACCAACAGCTGCTGGACGTCTGTGGAGAATAATGAAAAACATGTTCTATGTCCCTCAAAAAAACTGCGCTCAGCAGCCTCCCAGTAAACACGGCAGGAACAGGACCGAACACAGAGACCAACAGGGAATATAGTACTGAGGTGATTTACAGAGTTTCTTGATGAACAGATACATTTACTTTTTGCTAAACCCATTAATTACGGAGACCATGGTGGCCTAATTTGTCTCCGCCATAGTCTGAACCAAAAATATTTTTACACCTCAAAATAACGTTTCAGACCTCCAACGTTGTGTTTGTGGGAGCTGCTCCGCACTGCTGTAAGCTCACACGCTCACACACTTTGGCATCTGACTTCAGACAACCACCTTTCATTTGAAGTAACTACAGTAACCTTAACGGTCTGTTTCTGTCACTTTTTTCCCCCCACCACTAGTGACAACGTCCGTTTTTCAAAATAAGGTGTCTATACAGTTTGGAATTCATATTAATTGGATTATATCATATTCACAGAAAGTATAAAACATATTACATGTGTCCATTAAAAGTAAAAACAACAATAAAATGTTAGGAAAATTACTTGTTCTATTTTCTATTCTTTGATTTGGGGTTGCTGGAAAAATATTAAATACATTTGTTGACTTTTGTTGCTGTTTCATCACCATTTACAGCGATACAATGCGTTTATGATCAAATAGATTACAAGAGCACAACATTGTTTACAAGAGTGCAGAGTTATTTAGAGATAGCCTCTTAATTTTGCACCAAATTAATGCATTTAACTATTTGCACGCATTTAACTATTTGCACGCCTCTGGAGCAACGAGGGGTTAAGTGTCTTACTCAGGGACACAATGGTGGGTGGGTCACAGTGGGGGACTGAACCCGGGTCTCTCACTCCAAAGACAGGCGTCTTATCCACTGCACCATCACCGCACCAACAGCACATACCTTAACGGGAAAATTAAATCTAAAAAGGTATCTTCTTCTTCTTTAAAATGTTATAAGGACAAAATTAATCAGTTGTGTTGTTGTTTAAATGAATCATTAGGCTATATATGATTAATAAATTTGTGTTATTTTTCTCTTTTAAACCAATGACTTGCAAAATAGTCTTAAAAACCAACAGGAAAATGAATCGTGCAAAACATAAAAACATTTAAACAGGGATTTTGATTGTATGGGAATGGAAGATCAGAAACGCATCGTTGACACTCTCTTGGCTTCATTTGCCTTTTTGGCTTCAAAGTAATCCAAAAGTAACTCAAAGTAATCAGGTTACATTACTTTTATTTTGTGGTACTTGGATGACGTTACTCATTACATTTTTTAACAATTAGTACCTGATAACATTTTGAAGTAATCCTCCCAACCCTGGCTGTTGTTACCGTAAAGCTCAGATTATGGGTACAATAATCTTTCAGTGGCAGCAGGTTTGCAGCAGTTTGCAGTGAGAATACATTTTAAACAAATGAAAAACACAGTTTGGACAATTCCAGCTAGCGAGCTAAGCTAACTTCAGTTAGCATTCGTGGCTAACAGGAGATGAAAGGTGAAACCAAAGTTTCCACTTTAACACGTTTATCCCACTGACTGTATAAAAGAAGGTTTATCCAAACATACAGGCTCTAGTTCACTCCGGGAACACACGAACACGTTAGCGTGCTGACACAGGAAGTAAAAGCGCTTCCGGTACCACGTCTTCTTTTAGAGTTTAGCTGGCGGTTGGCAAACCAACTTAAGGTGCATTTACCGCCACCTACCGGACTGCAGTGTGGTCGTCGAGAATAGTCAGAGGGAATTATTCACCTATGCACACCTATACCTATGGTATAAATATGCTCATATTAAATACGGTAAAACAACCCCGTGTTTTTGAGAAACCTCATAACTTGATTTTTAACACTTTTAGATACATCTCCTAAGAGATTAACTAAAGTAAGCGCTTTCCCTTCCTTATGGAGGACTGATGTTAAACAATTACGCTCCTCCATGTAATTACTGCACTCTATTAGGACATGCTCAGCTGTTTCTGGCTGACCGCAATAATCACAGGCTCCTGTCTGATGTTTCCCTATACGGAACAAAGATCAATTGAGACCTGAATAGCCAATCCTCAAATGTGTCAGCACTGCCATCCCTAGACCTACCCCCTCCCACATTTCTTTGCACGCAGTAAAGATGTCTGCAACGCAGCTTGACTGTCTGAGGCAACTACAGCTCTGTTTATGCCTCCAATGTAATTCATATGCACCCAATTAAGAGCTAAAGCAATGGCAGTGAGTTCAACAGTATACACTGCAAGATCATCAGAAGTTCTTCTTTTTTGTTATGTTATATTGTGGAATACTCACTGCCGCTCCTGTTCTGCCATTGTTGGGATCTTTAGACCCATCAGTATACAGTACAAGGTGCTCCTCAAAATAATTTTGAACAACAAGCCATTCTGGGGTACCCCTACTTTTCTTTTTCAGTGCCAGTTGTAGCTGCAAGTCCACTACTGGCATAACAAACAACCATGGAGGTATAGATGAACATGGCACAGTCGAACTGAACTTAAACTGTGTCAGGTCTACATTCTGAGCTTTAATACCCCCAATCCACAGTAGACAAGACTCCTGATGTTCCCAACAATCCTGCAAAATAGCTTTTGCTGGGTGAACACAGCTATGACCCTGGAAATTGACCCAGTACGCACACATTAGCTTAACTCTCCTTAACCGTATTGGAAGTTCTTCAGACTCAACCTGCAATGCAGCAACAGGAGACGATGTAAAAGCTCCGCAACAAATACGCAACCCTTGTGACTGTTCTCTTCATCAAATGACTTTCAGCAGCTCCCATATAGGCTAAACAGCTATAATCAAGGGAAGACCTCATGAGAGCCTGGTAAATCCTCAACAACGCTCCTCTCGCAGCTCCCCAGTCCTGACCAGACAAACACGTCAACAAATTACCCTGTAACTTTGTTACATTTGTTTTGAACATACTCTATGTGCCGCTTCCAGCTAAGTTTCTCGTCAAATATAACTCCCAAAAACTTCACAGCACTCACTTGTTCCAGCTTTTGCTCGTAAAGTTTTAATATGATGTCTTTATGTCTTTAAAAAATCCAGTACCCAATTAGAAAGCTTACCTCCAATACCAAGCTTCTCAAGCTTCATCAACAATCCCTCCTTCCATCACATATTGAAAGCTTTCTCTGTATCAAAAAAGGCAGCCACCACTATTTCTTTGTTTGTTTGGGCTTTTCTCACTTCTGACTCCAAACATAGAATTGCGTCGTATTTCTTGCCCTACGAAAACCACTTTGAAAAGGGAAGAAGTTTTTACTTTCCATATAATAGGTCAGCCTATCTGTTACTATTCTCTCCATCGTTTTTTCCTAACTGCGAGGTAAGCGCAATGGGCCTGTAATTAGAAGGATCAGTTGCACTCTTACCAGGCTTCAGCACTGGCACTATGACTGCCTGTTTCCACCATGAATCCTTCCTGTTTCCCAAACCAAATTGAAAAGCTTCAGGACAGCATTTAGAGACCTGTCACTTAAATGTCCAAGCACAGAGTAGCAAATACCATCCTTGCCAGGCGTAGATTGCTTCACATTACAGACGGCTTTCTTTAATTCAAAAAGTGAAAAAGGCATATCAAGGTCCCGACTTCAGACTCTCTTCTGAACACTAACTCCTGGATTTTCAGCTAAAGCCTCCTCTCTACGGCACTTGGCAGTGTCTGACAAGTTCTCAGAACTGTGCACTTTAACTAAAGTCTCCACCAACAACTCTGCTTTTTCATTATTACTAACCTGCCCATTACAAAACAAAACAGGCATAGAATAATTCCTTTTTATACCATTCATTTTCCTAATAACTCCCCAGACATCTGACAGCTTAGTTTCTCTCCCAATAGTATTACAATACTCCCCCCAGCAAGCCCTTTTAGCAGCTCTAACAGTCCTTCTAACAACAGCCTGCGCTCTCTTTTACTGGACTAAAGCCTCAAGTGTATGATTCTTCCTTATCTGCTCAAATGCCTTACTTCTCTCTTTAATTGCAGCACTACACTGCTCACTCCACCATGGTATGGACTTTTTAAGTCCTCTTCCACCAGACTTTGGAACTGAGACCTCAGCTGCCTGCAGAATAGCAGACACAAGTTCAGAGTTAAGTAATTCCACATCATTCAAACACCTTTCATCTAATTCACCACACTGCCTATCAGCTAAAACTTGAAATAATTCCCAGTTGGCTTTATCTAACCTCCATCTTGGTACCTGCACTTCATCTTCTTTAGTTACATCAGTTCCAACTGTTGTAATTATGGGAAAGTGATCACTACCCATAGGTGAGTCACTTAACACCTCCCAGGATGTAATACCTGCCACTCCACTCCATACAAATGTTAAATCCAAAGAACTCTCTGTGTTTCTACAACAGTCATATCTTGTACCTCTACCATCATTAACGCAAACAAGCGAATTCAATTCAACAAACTCCTCAATAATCACAACATTTGCACCTGTATTCAGGCTTCCCCATAATACATTATGAGAATTAAAATCACCGCACCACACTACCTTTCCTTGAATCTGTCCACTCAGACCTGAGTTTAGAAATTAATGGCTGTGTGATGTGTTATTTTGAGGGGACAGCAAATTTACACTGTAGCACTCACTACTTTACATTGTAGCAAAGTGTCATTTCTTCAGCGTTGACACATGAAAAGATAAAACATTTACTAAAATGTGAGTGTACTCACTTTTGTCCGATACTGTACTACATCCACTCCAGCAAATTAATTAATGGCTGTGTGATGTGTTATTTTGGGACAGCAAATTTACACTGTTATACAAGCTGTACACTCACTATTTTACACTGTAGCAAAGTGTAATTTCTTCAGCGTCGTCACATGAAAAGATAAAATCAAAGGTTTACATAAATGTGAGGAGTGTACTCACTTTTGATACTGTACTACATGCCACTCCAGCAAACAGCAGATTAGGATGAATCAGATTTTTACATTTTCCATAACAATGGTACCACAAGAGAGCAACTGGAAATTCTACAGTATCTTAATTGCAGCATTATTAATGCCCTAACACTTTGGATGCCATAATACACACCATGTTTGGAGGAGAACTGGCACTGCACATCACCCTAAAAACTTATTCCCATTTTCCCTGTGTCATTTCACATTATTACACATAACTTTATTTCTGAACTTCTTTGTTTTGGTTTCTTTGTATATATGGATTACTTGGGTTGTTACCAACATCTGGTGAAAATTTCATGAGACAACATGTTGCAAACAAATGTGGGCGGGTGGGTATGGGGGTCCTAACCCCAGAAAATTGTGTTTTCCAGTAAATAAATATATATAATTTCGTGTAATTGTGGACCATTATTATTTTCCATATCTATACAAGAAGTTGGAAAAGCTAGAGCAGATTATAAATAAACAACAACCAAAAAGCTAAACTTGCTAAAGAAGTCTTCTGGGGAGGAGCTATAACCATTAGATCTGGGAAAAGCCAACTTGTTAGTTTTGATGCTCTCCACAATTATTTTACATTCATGGCACAGCCCCCGAGCTGTTTCGGGCCTTACTGCCATATAGCAGGAACAACCCTGTAGATATAATGTCAGAATCATTTTAAATAGGTTTATTCATGTTTGCCTTTTGTGTCTAAATTTACAACTTTTGACATTTATTAGTAGAAAGTATTATAAAAAATAGGCAACGTGTGAACCTCCCTTCTGTATAATTACCAAACATTTCAACTGTACTTTGAAATCCTAAAGAAACGTCTCCTCATTAGCATAAAATGACTAATTTGCATCATTCATTTGCTTAACTAACATCAGCTGCTCCATGGTCACCACCGTCCTTTCCTAACTAACAAGTTTTTCAGACTCATCTGAAAAGTAAATTATTATCTAACTATCAGGATGTGCAGTATGTATCCAGGACAGAGCCGTACACCAGTTTAGCCTAAGCTTTTACCTGATGCTCTCAACACTGGAGGCGAAGGTAGTAAAGAAATGTAGATAATTAATGTTACTTCCAGGCCACGGGTAGCCAGTGGAGGTCACTGAGTAATGGAGTGACATGACTCCTTTGGGGCTGATCAAAAACTAGACATGCTGCTGAGTTCTGAACCATTTATAGACCCACTAGGAGGGCATTGCAGTAGTCGAGTTGAGACATAATCCTGTCCTGTACCAGATCTTGGGTGGCATACTGTGTAAGGTAGGGCCTTATTTTTCTTATGTTGCATAGAGCAAACGGGCAACATGGTCTGAAAAGGACGTCTAGCGGGAAGGATACGTAGAGTTGCGTATCGTCTGCATAGCAGTGGTACGAGAAGGCATGTGAGCGAATGATCGGCCCCAGTGAGGTGGTGTCAATTGAGAAGAGAAGGGGCCCTAGCACTGAGCCCTGGGGCTCCCCTGTGGAGAGGCAGTGGGAGGAAGATAACTGTCCTTGCCAGAAAACATTGTAAGAACGCCCAGAGAGGTTGGATTCAAACCACAGGAGAGCTCTGCCCGAGATGCCCATTGCTAAGAGTGCGGATAGCAACATCCTGTGATTGAAAGGCAGCTGATAAGTCAAGCAGGATAAGAACTGAGGACTGGGCTGCAGCGTTAGCTGACCTTAGGGCTTCTGTTACACATAGAACAGCAGTTTCAATAGAGTGGCCAACCTTAAAACCAGACTGATGTGGATCTTGGAGGTCAATCCGTGAGAGGAATCCTGAGACTTGTTTGAAGACTTGGGACAGGTAAACTAACATTGCAGAAAAGCATGTGGAATATATTGTGATTTTGTGCTTAAATTAGAGACAGGCACTGTTTGCTTCGTAACGTTCAATTTAGATATATTGTCATTTTCCCAGAGACTCAGGTACACAGCGTCTTCAGTCTACAGCTTATTGACCCACATATTGGCAACATTTATGAAATATAACAAAAGAGGACAACAACATAGAGGAAGACCCATTCACTACAGTAACTTACTTGGGAAGTTGGCGATATCAGCCTCCTCCAGCTCTGGAAGCTGCTCTCCCTCCTGACTGGTCGTGAGTTCCTCCTGTTCTTCTTTAATGTGCGACGGCTCTGGTGGGTCCTCCTGGTCCAGCCTGGGGCTCCACTGCTGCTGCTCAGGTGGAACCTCTTCTTTACTCACCAACAGCTGCTGGACGTCTGTGGAGAATAAGAAAAAACATGTTTTATGTCCCTCAAAAAAAAAAATCAGCAGCCTCCCAGTGAACACAGCAGGAACAGGACCGAACACAGAGATCAACAGGGAATATAGTATCGAGGTGATTTACAGAGTTTCTTGATGAACAGATACATTTACTTTTTGCTAAACCCACTGTTTTCGATTAATTAACAAGACCGTGGTGGCCCACCACAGTCTAATTTGCTCCGGCATAGGCTGAACCAAAAATATTTTTACACCTCAAAATAACGTTTCAGACCTCTAACGTTGCGTTTGTGGGAGCTGCTCCGCACTGCTGTAAGCTCACACGCTCACACACTTTGGCATCCGACTTCAGACAACCGCCTTTCTTTTAAAGTAACTACAGTAACCTTAACAGTCTGTTTCTGTCACTCGTTTTTGAGAAGGAGATTAAGCTAGCTGCAAATAAATTTGGAGTGCACACATATGATAGCCTTTATGGTAACTGTAACGGACCAGCTCGAGCTGAAAGACAGGTTAGCAACTCCTGCCATATTCTCTCTTTACAAAGACCAGTGTTACAGTATGAGAGTCCAACCGGAAGAGAGGCTGTGAAGTCTTCATGTTACGTGACAGACAAACTGCATACAACATAATTTATGAAACTGGGTCGGACTTGATGAATTTAGCGCGAGGATACACATGTGACAACATCCGTTATTCAAAATAAGGTGTCTATACAGTATGGAACTAATTAATTGGATAAAATCATATTCACAGAAAGTATAAAACATATGACATGTGTTCATTAAAAGTAAAGAGGGTCCGAGGTCCACCCACCATAGTCTCTTAAAATCCTGTGGGAAACACTGTAAACCACTAACTGTATCTGTAGCTAGTTAGCTTGGTTAGCCGTGCTGCTAGCTGCCCTTTGTTAGATGAGTCAGTCCCGGATGTGCAAAGAGTCAAATCCGGCAAGAAAACCACCTCAGTCCTGTATTCCCTGTTGTCAAAATTGGCCTCTGTCGGTTTCGGAGGCCAAGTTCGGTTCCGGTTCGGCCGCAGAGTTTACTCACTGAGAGCTGAACCAGTCCGCGCAGTCTGCCTGACAGGCTGGGGGCAGAACGCATATTCAGTGCTATTGGATACTGAAAACCCCAATCAATATCTGCAACAAGTCCCTCCCTGTCTTTGTGCTTTTAAATACAGCAAAAGCATTACATTTATTCATTTCGCTTTTATCCAAAGCGACTTACAATTGCTATGCATGTCAGAGGTCGCACGCCTCTGGAGCAACTCAGGAACACAATGGTGGGTGTCTCACAGTGGGAATCGAACCCAGGTCTCCCAAACCAAAGGCAAGCATCTTATCTCTGCACTTTTATATTCACACATTCTACGCACTGAGCAATGTTTTCGCTTCACGTGAAGCTGCTACAACTCCATCCTAGGGGAAACACTGAGACCACGGATGGGCCAGATACTGCCATAGTGGTGACATAGTGCAAAGCATAAAAACATTTAAACAGGGATTTTGATTTCATGGGAATGATTTTGTACACATTTCTCTAAAAATACACTGAGCAGAAACGCATAGTTGACACTCTCTTGGCTTCATTTGCCTTTATGGCTTCAAAGTAATCCAAAAGTAATCAGGTTACATTACTTTTATTTTGTGGTACTTGGATGATGTTACTGATTACATTTTTTAACAATTAGTACCTGATAACATTTTGAAGTAATCCTCCCAACCCTGGCTGTCGTTACCGTAAAACTCAGATTATGGGCACAATAATCTTTCAGTGGCAGCAGGTTTGCAGCAGTCTGCAGTGAGAATAAGCAGTAAAGAGGACAAACCTGCTCTGTGTAACCGGACTTCAGGCTGGAAAACAGCGTCCAGTAGTTTCCTGTGTCTCTGGTTCTCCTCTTTGGAACGACAGAGTTCCTCCTCGTACTCTGATATCGTTCTTTCAAACAGCCCAAATATCTCTTCAGCAGCCGCAGTTAGTCGCTGGTTGATAAAACCTCTCAGCATCTGGGCTTTAGACATTTTAAACAAATGAAAAACACAGTTTGGACTCAGAGTTCCTCCAACCAGCGCTGTGTGGCCGAGTTCCGTCTATTTCCAGCTAGCAAGCTAAGCTAACTTCAGTTAGCATTCGTGGCTAACAGGAGATGAGTCTGAGGCGAAACCAAAGTTTCCACTTTAACACGTTTATCCCACTGACTGTATAAAAGAAGGTTTATCCAAACATACAGGCTCTAGTTCACTAAGGGAACACACGAACACGTTAGCGTGTTGACAAAGGAAGTTAAAGCGCTTCCGGTACCACGTCTTCTTCTTCTTCTTCTTCTTCTTCTTTAATGGCGGATTAAACAACTTTTAAGTGCATACCGTCCCCTGCTGTACTGGAGTCTGTAACATCATATCACTCAGCTATCAACCTCAATAAGGAGCTCTCATATTCTGTTCACCAACCCAGTGTCTCTAAGAAATTTAAACAATGCCTTCCTGGTGATTCTTACACCCTTTTCTTCTCCTTCTGTTCCCAACACCCCCATCAGATTCCATTCCCGCCCTGCTTCCTGAACCCTATCTTGAAATATCTGTCTTTCCAACTCAAATAATGTGCAGTGCAAAATGACATGTTCAACATTTTCTTTAACCCCACAGTTTTCACACTTTTCACTATTCCTTTTCCCCTATAAAAACAAGGTGCCATTCAGTTCTGTGTGATCTACTCTTAGTCTGGTCATAATAATTTCCTCCCGCCTGCTCCTTTCGCTATAATTTATATTACTGACAGACTTTTGTATTTTATAGTAACTCCTTCCTTTCCTGTCTTCCTCCCACCATTTCTGCCATATTTCAGTACCTTTCTTCTTAATGGCTGTTTTTCCTTCTCCTTTTCCTAGAGGTATTTGAACTGTTATTTCCTTTTGTAATGCCTCTTTTGCTATTTTGTCTGCAATCTCATTTCCATTTACTCCCTCATGAGCTGGCACCCAGCAAAACTGTACATCTATCCCTCCCCGATGTAATCTTAATAAGCTCTGAAACATTTCTATCAGTAGGTCTTCTCTGACAGATGTCATTGACTGAATGCTTTTAATAACTGCTAAGGAGTCTGTGCATAATATCACATCAGGTCTGACCTCTTCAACCCACTGTAATGCTATAATAACTGTATGCTGTATATACAGATAGCCTATCTGATAATCGTTTTGAGATATTTATTTTGAATTCTGGTATATGTATTCCAGTTCCCACACATTCCTGTTTGTTTTTAGATCCATCTGTATAGATTTTTAGATAATTATGGAAACTGTTTCTCAGATAGCTGCTAGTCCGTATTCCCACTTCCTCTTTTCTTTTCCAGTATACTAAGATCTGTTTTCACGTCTGGATAGAGCCAAGGTTGAATGTTACTGACTGGATTGGGTGTGGTGAAATCTAATGCTTCCATTCTGTATTCCCTGACTCTCTTTTCCCCCGTCCATCCAAACCCATGCCCCTGAAACTTGAAATATTCCCAACAATCCTTTGTTATCTCCTTTGCAGGGTTTTCTTTCCCACTTCCTTTCAATCTGACCCAATATGCTCGCGCTAGTTTCTCTCTTCTTCACTCCAGTGGTGTCTCTCCAGCTTCTATGAGTATTGTGTTAATGGGAGTTGTCTTAATGGCTCCAATGCATATCCGTAAGGCTCTGTATTGTAATTTATAAATTTTTTCCGATGTTGTTTTTGCTGCTGCATCATATACTATGCAACCATAATCTATTGATGACCTCATGCATGCTCTATATATGTCAATTAGTGACTGTTTATCTGCACCCCAGTCGCATCCCGCCACTGCTCTCAGTAAATTAATAACTTGTTTGCATTTAGTTTCCAATTGCTTTATGTGTGTTTTCCATGTGTATTTACTATCAAACCACAATCCCAAATACTTAAATTCATTTACTTTTTCCATTGGCTGCTGATATAGAAAAAGCTTTTCTACATGACACTTTCGCTTGTTTGTGAACACCATATAACAGGATTTGCTTGTTGATATTTTAAATCCCCACTTGAATGACCACTTCTCTACTTTCTCTATTGCTTTCCTGATGTTCTCTAACACATATGTCTCATTTCTTCCTCTCATCCATATGGCCCCATCATCTGCATATAACGCTGATTTGATGTGTCCATCTAAATCTGAAAATATATCATTAATCATAATGTTGAATAATATAGGGCTAATTGCGCTCCCTTGGGGAACGCCATTATTTACCTTAAACTCTGTAGAAATTTCTGATCCAACCTTTACTCTAATTTTCCTATCTGTTAAAAAGTCTAGTATCCAGTTATAAATCCTTCCTTCAAACCCCATTCTATTTAGTTTAATAAGTAGTCCTTCCCTCCACATAGTATCATATGCCTTCTCAATGTCAAAATACACTATTATCATCAGCTGTTTCATTTTCAGTGCCTTTTCTACCTCATTACTTACTCTAACGAGAGCATCTGTTGTGGAGCGCCCTTTCCGAAATCCATTTTGTATATTACTCAGTAGTCCTCTCTGTTCCATTACATGTGATAACCTACGAACTATTATCCTCTCCATCCATTTGCATAAGTGTGATGTCAGAGCTATGGGTCTATAATTACCACGATTGGTTGGGTCTTTACCAGGTTTGCTAAACGGTAGTATAACTGCACTTTTCCAACTTCTCGGTATTATTCCATCCTTCCATATTTTATTGAACAGTCTTAACACTAGCTTATTTGACCCTACTGGCAGCTGTCGGAACATGGCATAACATAACTGGTCTTGTCCTGGGGCTGTATATCCCGTGCCAAGCAGAGCTGTATTGAGTTCTGTTATTGTAAAATCCACATCTAAAGTTGTTGTACCATCCTCCCTCTTCAGCTTCACGTCCTTATTTTCTCTGAGTGCCAGGTCTTTCTGTTGCTTAAGGTGATCACCACTATGCACAGCCGCAAAAGCCCTACCCAACATCTCTGTCTTTTCTTTGTCTGACACCACCGTCTTTCCTCCATCTATCAAAGCTGGGATTTTAATCGCTTTCCTTTTCCCACTCATTCTTTTAAACATAGACCATATATCCCCTAACTCTACACCTCTACCTATGGTGGAACAGAACTCTCTCCAATTTTTCTTTTTGGTTAACTTAATTGTCCTACGTGCCGCTGTCCTTTTCCTTTGAAAATCCAAAACACTCTCTTGTGATAAATTCTTCTTTAATGTTTTAAAGGCTTTGATTCGTTCTTTTACAGCTCTGCTACACTCCTCATTCCACCAGGGGACCACTTTCTTCCTGCCCTTTGTTGTTCTTTTTGGAATACTTAAATGTGCTGCATTTATAATGTGTTCTGTAATTTGCTTTGTGCATTCCTCTACATCACCTTCAAACGTCACAAGGTTTGCTGACTTCATACAACATAACCTAAATTTTTCCCAGTCTGCTTTCTCAAAGCACCATCTGTTAATTGTACTTCCTACTAGGAAACATACATTTGTGTTAATAATAGTGAGAACTGGAAAATGGTCACTTCCTATGGTAGAATCATTCATAACAAACCATTCACATGCGTTTACCAAATTATCTGATACCAGTGTGATATCTAAACATGATGTTTTACCCCTGTTCACATCCATTCGTGTTCCCTGTCTGTTATTAATGCAGACCAGTGATCTTTCTTCCATCATTTCTTCAATTATGTCCCCATTATTATCTGTGTGATTGCTGCCCCATAAGCTGTTGTGTGCATTGAAGTCCCCACACCATATTTCTTTCCTGTATTCAGTCCCTGCCATTTCATTAAGTTTATTGATATCTAAGTTTTTGCATGGGTTATAGAAATTAATCAATTTAATGTTTCCCTCTTTCCTTGGGCTATAGATTTCAACTATTATACATTCTGAATCTTCTGAGCTTGGGGATTCCCTGTAGGCCAACCCATCCTTGATAAAAGTGATGCACCGTCCACCAGTTTGGTTGTTAGGTCTATCGTACCTTATAGAGCTAAACTCTTGTATCACATAATCTAGTCTGTCTCGTAACCAAGTTTCTTGTACACATATTGCATCTGGAACAACATCTAATTCATGAATGTACTTTTTGAATTCTTGACCATTAGCTATAAGACTTCTTGCGTTCCACTGTAGTATGTGAAGAACCATTATAAGTGTCCTAACCCTCAGTTTGTGTATTTCCATTTTCAGTTACCGTCAACAACGCATGTATTTGATCTGCTTTGATATCTTTCATATCAAGAAGTTTTCCTGCTGCTTCTACAATAGCCTTAATTCTGTCACTTTTCTTTTTCAACTGGGACGCAACATTGATGGTGTGACATATGAAACCCACAAAGTTCACTTTTTTCGCTATCAACGTATCATCGTCAACTTTACATTTATGCTCGCAACCATTCTGTGTGTGAGCTGGAATCTGGTTTTGTGTCTGATTAACTGGTGTTATGTTTCTTTGGATAATTCCACTGGAGTTTTTGTTATTTGATCCTGTTTCTCTTACTTTCTTTAGAGCTTCTGCATATGATACTTTGTTCAATATCTTCACCTTTTGGGCTTCTCTGGCTCCTCTTTGCACTTCACATCCACCAAATGCAGCACTATGCTCTCCTCCACAGTTACAACATTTAATCTTTGCATCCTTTTCACATTTCCCATACTCGTGCTGACCCCCGCATCTAGCACACCTTATCTTTCCTTTGCACTGCTGAGCTGTGTGCCCCATCCTTTGACATTTAGAGCATCTGATAGGGGGAGGGATGTATTCTCTCACACTGTAATTTATGTATCCCATTTGGACTGACTTAGGGAGGGTTCTCTCAAATTGCACAACCACAGATAGTGTGTCTTTTAATGATCCATCTCGTTTGCTTTTTAGTCTAGTAGCCTTGACTGCTTTGCCTCCCTGAATCTCATTTTTAACATCTTCCATTGACATATTCAAAGGGACTCCTGATATAACGCCTCTAACCTTTGCTGTTGCTCCTGGGATGTGGGCCTTCAT